GGACTACCTGTACTGTGCAAACAGGTACGCTTTAACTAAGTATTCATAAGCTGTTCTTTTAGATTTTAATGGTGCTTGGCTGCACAGCTTCTTTTTCTACACCTATGTATACATTTTTATCCTATTTACACAGGATAACTCATTTCATCTGGAGGAATTATTCTACAAATACATTAATATAGGGGACAGCAACATGGCACCCACAATCCCCCATATCAAATATTCAAGGAATATGATTTAAAAATACCCCCAAATCTTGAAAAATGACAAATTTCTCAACTTTCTCATTAATCATAAATTTGCTGAGTCCTACAATAATGAATCAATCTAGTTTTTTAATGTGCCACAAGTTTTTGTTTATATTTAGAAAATCAGCCAGCATGCTCTGAAGTAGAACTAAAATGTTTTTAAATGATTTTAGTATTTTTAATTGTAAAATGTCTTTTTTTTTCTTTTTGAATTGTGAGCTAAACAGAGACATTAACTGAGATAGGCAGCTACAGAAAACAAACAAACAAATTCCTGGTGGACATTGGATACATCTATACAGTTTTCCTGATGCCAGAATCAACATGGATTGCCATTCTCATATTCTAGGATGCTTTTTTGAATTTTAGCCTGAAGTTTTGGATTTTTTTTCCCCCTTTGAAAATAGATCATTTACAATTTGGAGCCCAAATCTCACTTCTGCTTTATATTCTATTCTCATCTCTTAGACATTTTTTTTCTATCCTGGAATAGGTGAGTATGAGTTGGATTTTTAAAATCAGAGCCATCTGTTTCCTTGAATTTAGACTGCTATTATTTTATTTTATTTCTCCCAATTGTCTCATTGGCTACAGAAAGCTTTGGAGCAGGAACATTCACTATCATTGCACAAGAGTTCCTACAACTTTTCCCACATGTTGTCAGAGGTCCAAAAAAGGTGGGACTGCCTGGTCTACCATAACTATAAGGTCTTTGGTAATTGTGTTTTTATTTATTTAAAATAAATAAAAGATGGTGACTTGTGATCTTTTTATTGAGAAAATATGCATATTTTAAAAGGCCAAATATGTTCCACATTACCACACACTTTTTCCTAAACTTTTTTATACCTCTAAATTTCTCTAGCACTATTCCCCGTCCCCAAAAAAGCAGTTGGCTGCCATTTTGAATTTAAAATCTTATTGAAAATGTGGCATACACCTTAAAATGTTATTCAAGTGAGTTAAAAGAAAAGACTACAGATTCACCCAATCTAATAGAAAACAGAAAATCCTAGATCTACATTATATCCTTTTGTACCATTATAGGCCCATTCAAACAACTTTAGAAAACAACTTCAATAGATTGCCAGCTTTGATATAGCAGAATATAGATACTTTGGCATTTAGTAGTATACAAGTCAATTAGTGACTTCAGCTACATTTTTTAGAGCCAGCATATAAGTGTCTAATTAAAGAGTAATTCTATGTTACCAGAAAAAAGGGAAAGATGGAGAGACAGGAAAATTCAATGGCAAAGCAAAAATCACATTTTCTCATGACAAGAAATCTACCCCAGCAGTGTTTCTCAATCTGAGCAATTTTAAGATATGTGAACTTCAATTCCTAGAATTCTGCCAGCTAGGAAAATATTGTTCTCGGGGAATATTGAAAAAGCACTAGAGCAGGGCTGTGAAACTTGCGGGCCATGGGCCAACTGCGTCATGCACTGACCACACCCATGCCCGGTTTAGTGAAGGGGAAAAATGTCACGATATACCATGTGATGATGGCGTGGCGACATGAGTTTGACAACCCTGCTCTAGGGACAATTGTTCTACTACATGCATTGCACCCTAAGACCATTTTCTTATTTGCTAAATAAGGAGTAAATTTGACTACACCATATTATCAAGAGAAGGAAAAAGGGCCGAAGCACTGGATGTACCATACATACAGGTAATCTTCAACTTATGAACTTAGTCTGGAATTTCAGTCACTAAATGATGCGGTTACAAGCCATCCCATGAACGGATCTGATTTTATAACCATTTTTACACCACAGTCGTTAACAGAATCACATGGTTATTAAGAGAATCTAGCATCCCTAATTTACTTTGCTTGCTTGGGAAGGTCACAAATTCCAATCATGTGACCACCAAATGCTGCAACTGTCATAAGCAAAAGTCAGGTGCTAACCACCAACAATAACATGATTGCAGAGGTGATGCAAAAGTCTAAGTTTGGGGATGAGTCGTAAGTCACTTTTTCTGAGGCTGTTGTAACTTTGAACTGTTTAATTAAACTATTTGTTGCAAGTCAAGGACTACCTGTAGACACCCAATCCATTGGGAGTACTTTGATTTGGATTCCTGCATTGAGAAGAGGTCGGATTCCATGTCTTTTTTAGTTTTTTTTAAGCTTTCTAGTTCCCTTTCACAATATACATCCTATTGATGCTCTCAGTAAAATGGGTCCAGATGTATCTGAATGTATAAAGCAACTTACAGATCTTTACAAGCTGGGAAAACAAAACATTGCCCAACAAAAAAATGTTTTTCTTCCTCCTTCCCTCAGGGCAATGGCTTTGCTAAAGTTCCTTTCGATGTAAGGGGCCCCAAAGGTTGACTTTGACCATTTCTCTAGTTTCTTCAGAGAAACAAACATATTTTAGAATTCATCCTTATCCACAAATGCCACTATTCTATTTTCCAAATAATTCTAACTGTCACTTCATACACATTCATTTATTATTATTTATTATTTCTTCCATCTTCTGGACTCCTTGTTTGAGGACATGACTAAATTCTACCATGGAAAATAGTTCTAAATTAGTTACAAACTAAATCCAACCATAAACAATAGTTCTTTTATTGACGTTTGCTAACATTATTAAATTCCTGTGTATTGGGGAGGCAGTTCTTAATTAGCCCTCACCTTACACTCATCAAATTTTAGCTCCAGAACCAATTTTCCCTGACACAACTCCCTCCAAGCATGCATCATGTAGCAACATCTTGTTCCAATCCTCTGACTTTTGAGGTAGCTAGGACAGGAAAAAGCAGGAAACAAAATGCATTGTAGGCATTTCTGAAGGACCATATAAAGAGTTGCAGTGGGCCAATTGTGTCATTGCTGACACCATCCAAGTCTCCTGGCTTGACTGAGAATAGCATGTATTTGCAAAACTGTCCTTTTCTGGTTCTCACAAAACTCCCCTTTTCTGGTTCTCACAAAACTCCCCTTTTCTGGTTCTCACAAAACTCCAAAGACACCTAGATATGTTTACTCAATGAGCCGTAAGAAAATTTGGTTTTGACTTAGAAAAATCCATATAAACCATTCCAATGTAATTTGAAAGATATGGCTTAGAATGAAATATGAATCAGGCCACTAACTTTGATTCTGACTTGGAGAAGTAAAATAAAAATGCCACTGTGTTTTATACACATGTATTGCTTTATGTCTCATTAATGAAATATGCTCAAAAGAAACCAAGCCTTAATATTAAATGTATGGATATAGACATTTTAATTTTAATTTAGAAAATGAAATATGATGTTCCAGAATATATAGTTTGATCAACCATCTTTTCACAAACATCACAACACATTAAAAATAGGCAGCATCTTGAAGGTGATAGTTATAAACTATTTTTGTTTATTGCTGGTAGACAGATAGTAAGGACGACAATGGAGAATTTCTGGCAGAGGTGAAATGCTCACATCAGTTTTGCATATTTAATCCCCGCCATTACAAGGAATAAAGTACATTTGTTTAAGGCTTGGAAGAATGAGTAATGTAATACATCTTAGAATGTAAATGTAAAACCAGAGGAAATCCAGGTTCAAATCCTCATTCAGCCATACAGCTCACTTGGAACCTCATAGTAACTTGTATCTTAGGCTAACTAACAGACTACTATCTGGATACTAAGGATGGGTAGCGTGGTCTGGTGGACTGAAAAGTCAGTGTAAACAGTGAACTGGAATGCTTCTGTTCAAGTCTCTCCCAACCAGGGACCTGATGGAGATTGTGGTCAGTTACTTTATCACTATTGAAAGCTCTCTCATAGGTTAATGTTGAGAGGATAAAATGAAAGATGTTATGAATACAATTTTGTACATTCACCTTTGAAAGGCAAAATACACACAGGCTGTGTTCGATAATAACTTTGTAACTGAACTAACCCATTTTTGTTTGATGTAGTGAACAGTTAACTAATCCAACAGCCTGAATTCACACACTGCATTAATCCTAAAAAATATCTAACAAAATCTAAAACTTTTCAATCTTTGATAATTTGTGCAAATGCAGAGACCAAATCTTTAGCTGATATAGTTATGCGAACCCAACAATGGAGTGAAAAAGTTCCTCTGAGCATATACAAAATCTTTCTTTATAGTGAGCCACATTATGCCATCCAAAATGGGTTTTGCAAGACATTCCTTGAAATGTCTGTACAATTTATTAGACACAATAAAGGTGCCTAACACCACTGTTCTGTCCGATATGAAAAGAAGAGTTACAAGTACACTCCAACACAATTCAAAATAGGATGGGATTTTCTGAACTTCCTTGGCAAAGCACTTTCATCAAAGAGAAGGTTGATCTTTGCTTAATTTCAGGAACAGTCTCTGAACTGTTCTTGGGAAATATTTCAGTGGTTTTGATCCAATCTTCCAAATCTGGACTACAGTCCCAAGATTGTCTTGTTGGTCTCCCATCCAAATACTAAAGAGGGCAGATCCTACTTAGCTTTTCCAGATCAGGCAGGTTTTTCTGGAGACTGCCACTTATCCAACTTTCAGCAGGAAAGTTTTTGCAATGAAAGGAAATGGCCTCCTTTCAAATGAGAGGGCACGGCACCTCTGCTGCTTTGCTTTCCAAGTTTGCATGCCAACTAGGCCTACCTGGAGTCGCCTCCGGGCCTCTTTCCCTTTCCCAGACTCAATAATTACTCTCAACCTTTTGTTATTCACCGATCGGCAGGTTAGCACCTGGCCCTCCCCTCCACCGTACACCCTTACTTACTTGAGGAAGTATCTCTGACCCGTGTGCGTGAGCGCCATCTCCCAGCCGGGAGGAAGCGGCAGCTCATCCGTCACGTCGTAGGACTGCTGGCGAAGGTGGGCATGCTGTTGAGCCGGAGTCGGGGTGGCTCCCGCCCCGGTGCCCAGCTGCAGAGAAGCTGGCGAAGAGTGAGAGCGGACGTGGTGGACCCCGACGGCAGCGCTGCTCAGCCGGGGAGGGTGGCTGCCCGAGTCGGTGCTCGATTGGCGGGAATGTGATCCCGAATCGGGCTCCTGAAAAAAAGATTCGGGCAGGATCTTTTTTCTCCACGAACTGGGCTTGGGATTCATGACCGAGTTGAAGAGAGCCTCTAAGTCAGTGTCCAGATCCTGGGTGACATGGATCACTTGCTGGCCCGGCGGGGGAGGGACGGCAGCAGGATTCATTTTTCCTACCTCGAGCCAGAAAAAGTTTGCCGCGGGACCTCGCAAAGAGGGAGAGGGGCAGGGGGCTAGAAGCAGGAATCAATCAGAGCCGGCAGGCCAGGATTTCTCCTTTGAAAGTTGCCTCGCAGAACTTCCAGCCTCCTTTGCTCCGACCGACCAGGACAAGATTCCCGGGAGCTAGTATCGGTCTGCGGCGAATTAAGTTTCCGAAGCAAAGCTCTCCCTCGACCTTTCTCCCCCACGCCCCCCCCCCCCCCCTCGCTTGCGAAAAGGCCTCAAGGCAGAAAATCCAAGGCGGTTATCCCCTCCCTCCCCAAAGTGTATCTTTATCTCGCAGAATCTCCCCAAACGGTTGAAGCAAATCCAAGTCAAGGCCCGGAGGAAAGTTATGCAACTCCCCCTCCCCCCCAGAACTTCGGAGATCTGCTACAACTCCCCCTAAGAAAACAGCTCCTTTAAAGGACTAAGGAGAGAGAGAGAGAGAGAGAGATCTTCTCCCGCGGCTGTCACGAAAGGCAGGCAGGAATTCCAAAAAGGGCCTGGGACTCGAAGCCACAGGGGGATCCCGCCGGGAGGGCCAGTCCGACCTAGAACCCCGAGAAGCGAACGGTCGGGTTTAGGACGCCCCCCCTGAAATCTCAGCCGCGCTCTGTTCCGGGCCTGGCGTCCGTCCTCTTCGTCCCCCTCGCGGGTGCAGAGGGCGGCCCGGCTCAGTCACTTTCTACTATTATTTCTCTTGTCTTAAAAGAAGCGACTTTTGCGGGACGGAGGGTAGTCGGTCCCTTCTTTCTTTCTTTCTTTCTTGTTCTTTCTTTCTGTCTTTCGTTTTACATACCCATCCTGTAGATCTTGAAGGGCTGAGTGCTTCCACAGTGGCGCCGCCGCCGCCACGATCGACTATACTAAACAAACTTACCCAAAACTCTCAGTTAGGGCGGCGCAGAAAGTTTGGCAGCTGCATTATTCATGAGCTCAGCGTCTGGGACCAGTCCGATTACACGGTACACCCACTTGCCAGCTCTCCCTCCCACAGCTTGTTTTAGAGAGCCGGACCCTGTTGGTTTTTTTCGACTGGGAAACAGGAGCTTCCTGGGGATGGGCTGAGGGAGTTTACCGGAATCTCGGACGGAAATCAAGGAGGGTTCTGACGAACAAATCAGGCAAAAGGCGTGCCAGGGCTTCCTCCAGCTGCTCCTTTTGGAGCTTCAGCTAAGAAGTAATCCAGAGCCAGGATGCAACGGATTTAGGACCGAGACAGCCAACTGTCTACATAGTCCACTGGCTCTTGTGGATGCCAAATCCGTTTTTATACTTCATTGTTTTCAACTGGGAAAAAAAAAACTTGATTGTATTGCACTGCCAAGCTGTAAGGCAACAAACATTCCCAGGCCCTAGTCCCACTATGTCCATTACTCACCACAAATTTCCACTTTATCTGCATCTTGCTCCCAACTTGAGTGAAGTGGCATAGTGGTTACTGGGTTAGTATGATCCATGCATCTTGAGTGGGCCCAAAATAAAGCTAACATAGCAGGTCCATGCCACGTATAAGTACAAAGCAAACCAACCATAATTAGCATAATGTGTGAATCCAGTGGAAGAAATATCCCTAGTGGATAGATTTAGCTTAGGAGTAAAAAATCTCAAATATTAAATGATGACTTCCGCTGGCCATGCTTACATGTTCAATGGGAATTTGAACAAAATAACTAGAGCGCCACAGATTTGCCAGCATATTCAGAGTTCTTCAGCTTTCTTTTCTTATAGGTGACACATCTGAATATAAATCTCAGCAACACCTTACAAGACGCATTAACTGAGCCATCAATGAGCCTTTGGTTGCATTCCAGAAGCTGCATTTCAAAAGAGAATCTCTTCCATCATATATACTTTAATATTCACTTGAGACTTTATGGTTCATCAAAATTCTATTTAAAAACCCTGCTAAATGAGAGCCAATGGGAACATAGCTGTTAAATACTATTTATTCAGCACTCATAGTACTAAGTATCTGCTTAGCTATGACACCTACCAGATGAGTAAGATTAAACCATAAAAAACCCTAATAAAGCTTAAAACTGGCCACATTTAATATGCTGAGCAAATAAATTGATTTGTTTTTAATTGAGATAGATGTATAATAGGATGGTCAGTACAATTACAGTAGAGGGAAGTCTTCTGCCAGATAAAAATAAATATGCAATTATTTTAATTTTATAATTTGCCTACTTCAGAAATATTCAATTGGTATTGCAACCCTAACAGACTTCAATAGGAATAACTGAGCATGGGGGGGGCTAATTTTAAGATAATTTTAAGTAAATACATCTATGATTATATTGCTGTCCTGTCTTAACCAAGTTAATTTTTGAACAAGTTTTCACTGAAGAGTCATGCTAATTAAGATGAAGATTATAGCCTGGAAAGGCAGTGAGCAGCTTGAGAAAGAGACTGGGCATATTACATAATGAGGAACAAGCCTTGTATGTTCTTAGAAAAGGATAGAAATGTTTTCTCCCATCTTAAACCCTAAAATCAGCCATCATATTCAATAATCCCCAAATCAGACTATTAATTTGTTTAACATAAGCATGTCCAGTATTCGCCAAGTTTTCAGCCCAAGGCTCCTTGATTAACTTTTCTCCTGTATCTGGAAAAGATAGAGACTTTGGGTACCTGGGACTTCTCCATACCAAATGGAGAATAAACACAGACTTGTGACAATTTCCACTAAAATAATGTATATCCATTCATGACAACAATTATTTTTAAAGGATCCATTATTTGTTCTGATTTATGATTTATACTTTTCTTTAAGCCCAGCTGCCTAAATTATACACGTGAATATACAAACAAAAATAACTTGTGTGAACGTTTTAATGAATTTTTAGAATGCAATATTTGTAATATTGCTTTTTACACAGTATCAGTTGAGTTACAGCATGACAAAATGTTATATTTCATTAACCAGTAATTTGTTGAAGAATAATACTGTAACTGTAAGAAACAAGTCTGAAGTCCAAAAACATATAAAATGTTAATATACATGTTTTGTTCTTAAAGAATGGAAAAAGAAACAATTGGTCAAAAACCATTGTATGTTATACATGGAACAGAAAAAGCTCACATAATCAACTATTTATGCATGATTAAAGTTTATGACAGTTATTCTAACTTGCATCCAGCAACATTATCAACATAGCACCCAATCAACTTCAACCAGTAAACATTGTTTTATGTTCTTGGAATACTGCTCTGACTGGTCCAAATGCACTGCTTCCTATAATTATGCAGATTTTACTGTAACAAAAATACTATTTGATGTTGCGCACTATTCGTCTGCAATGATTTGTTTTCATTTCTCCCAGTGCTTGCTCCATTTGTTGAATTAGATGGAGCAATGTGGCAGGATCAGTTTGTAGTATTTTTGTCGTTTGATTTTCATTCTCATTAAGGTGTAGCTTCAAAGTTACAGCTGGCTTAATTTGTTGCCTCAGACTTCTGCTGGCAAGCTATTTAAATTGTGAGATGGAAAAAGTGATAAATATAAGGATGAATCAAGAGCAGCCATATTCATAACAGTCATAAAACAAATGTTTACAAAAATGTAAGTTTGTTACAGTACATACCTGTTTCTTCATTATTACTGAATATTCCAGTTTTACTGATAGTCATTCACTGCAGTTTGAAAATTTTAACCAGAACTAAATATCATCTTGGGCATTCAGTTGTGTATAATATTGTATGCTCAAGAAGGCAGATGTAAAGTACGTTTTTTGCACATCTGTAGACTATGTTTTTTTTTTCCATTGCTTTATGACGGGTTGTCCTGGCTTAGGACAATTGGAAACAGAATTTCCATTGTTAAGCAAGGCACTTAAGTGAGTCACACCTGACTTTAGGTTCTCTTCTGCCATATTTATTAAAGCAACCCAGCTTCCCAAATTGATCTAGCTTGTTAGAAGCCAGCTAGGAAGATCACAAATGGCAATCTCGGGATCCTGGCATGCTCCAACTATCATACACACATACTGATTACCAAGCCCCCAAATTTTGATTACATAACCATGGTAATGCTGCAATGGTCATAATGCAAAGAACAGCTATAAGTTACTATTTTCAGAGCCACTTTAACTTCGAACAGTTGCTAAACAAATGGTTGTAAGTTGAGGACTACCTCTATAGTCAAGTTACGGCCATTTGGTTAGTGACTGTTTGAGGTTACAATTGTACTGAAAAAACTGACTAATAATGGTTTTGGCCATTGCAGCAACCCTGTGGTCACTTGACCATAATTCGGATGCTTGGCAACTGACATGTATTTCAGGGGTCATGGGATCACCTTTTGTGACGACCTGACAAGCAAAATTAACAGAGAAGCCGGATTCACTTAACAACCATGTTACTAACTTAACAAGGGCTGTGATTCACTTAACAACTGTGACAATAAAGGTCGTAAAATGGGGCAAAACCACCTTAACTGTCTTGCTTTGCAACAGAACTTTTGGGCTCATTTGTGATTGTAAGTCAAAGGCTACCTCATACGCAGTCTATTCTCTGCAGTTATTTGGTTGCTTTAAAACTTCATGGATAAGTAAGGCAGCTAAAATATATTGTGATTCCTTTTTCTGTAATCTAACACATTTTTTACATTTAACAAAAAGGCAATTGAATTATTTTATAAAAGTCAAAAAATCAAAATGTCATGGTTGTCCAAACATAACCTATTTGGGTGCAGGGAATGCCTATTAAATCCAAACATCCATTGAATTTGAATAATTTGTTTAAATTTATGCTATGTGTGTGTGTGTGTGTGTGTGTGTGTGTGTGTGTGTTTCACTCAAGCCTACTGTTTTCCAGGCATGATCAGGTGTTACTTTTTTTCAGATCAATCAAGTGTTGATTTGATTACGACAGGAATTCAACAACTAGCTTGACTCTTAAAAGCTGTCATGGGCTCTCATGGGCTGAGAAAGACTGGCCCAAGGTCATCCTTCTGGCTTTAGTGTCTAAGGTGGGACTAGAATTCACAGCGTCCTGGTTTCTGGCGTGGTGCCTTAACTACTACACCAAACTGGCTCCCATATGAACCTATTACAAAGGTCTCCAAACTTGGAAAATTTAAGACTTCTGGGAGTTGAAGTCCACAAGTCTTAAAGTTGCCAATTTTGAGGACCCCTGACCTATTACATTATCTTTCTAGGAGACTTCAATAGGGCCTGTCAATTGGGTAATCCCTCCCTCCCAAACACACACATACATTTATAGTGTGTTACATTACAATGTTGTAAATATGTTACCCTAGTTCTAATTTCAAGAATTGGCTGATAAACAATTTAGTGTCTAATTTTTATTAGACTATGTACATCTTTTTAATATTTTCACTAGAACCTTTAATTTTTTTTCATGAAGCTACTTTGAATAATTTATTACATTGCCATTTAAAATGACCAACATTTATTCCAAATTTTCTATTGCAAAATAAAAGGCAATTTGAATAAAGTTCCAGTAATTTTCCACTATTGCACTAGTAAAATGGGAATGATGGAATTTTATAGAAGAATTTTCTTAATATGAATAAAGGTGAAAATTGCATTATCTTAATGAATAAATGGATAATTTATACAGTTCACTTTATTGTGTTCTTCTGTGAATAATTATGTGACAAAATGCATGATTTCAAAATACTGCTACCTCTATCTTCTGGAAAGAATGAATATTTACTAATTTGAAATAAATAAATTTGGTTCATACGGAAGCTGAAATGAATCAGTGAACATCTACTAATGCTTGTAATCTTACCTGCACATCTAGTCTCCACTCCAGATTATGATAACTAGGAAACTTCGGTGTTAGTTCACTCAGAATATTCCTGATCTCCTTTCTGTTGTCAAGATACAGCTGAAGTAATAAGGCATTCAATTCTTCAGGAAATTGTAATACAAGTATCGAGTCTTGAAAATCTATTTCAGATATCTAAAAAATAGTAAAATGCAGAACATTTAAATTTCCAGTGGCTTTTATCACATTTTGCCTTACTCCAAATGTATTTTTTGTTCCAATGATCACATTTCCCACTTTGAAATATGATTGGTCAGTAGAAATAAGCATATAAAAAATTTAAAACATGCAGATAATCATCAATAAGTGCTCTTAAAGTCAATGAAACCTGAATAAGTGAAAAAGTTAATAACTAAATAGTAAATGCACCAAAACCCGAAGAATGTTTAAACTTTCATTTGAAACACCACACCTTCATAGAAGTGACACATGCTTAATTCTCCCCCACAAAACAATCTGAAGTATATGCTTATTTCTCTAAATAGTACACATTGTGTAACCACTTACCATGAGTTTTGAGCTCTCAGTGAGAAGGTATGTTAATCCTTCTACTCCATGCTGAATTGTCTCACTATTAACATTAAGTTTTCCTAAAAAATGAAAAAGTCCACAGAAATACAACATATAAATGGCCTATAAAGGAAATAAATCATAAAAATAAATCATAATATATAGCTAGAAAACATAAGCTAGGTTTCAAATGTAAATGTATTTATTAAAAGCAAGCTCTCTTGAATTCTGCATGTAAATGATTAACAATGATTGAAAGAGGCACAAAGAGATCTTTGGCTTACAGTATCAACTGAAATTCATGTGAATGTCTACTAGAGCTCAATAAATGTTTTTCTTCTAAATCTAATGCTTCCATTTTTCATGAATTATCAGAAAATAAAATGAATAAGGAAATTAGAAAGCCAGGCCTTTGCTGTTTAGAATGCAAACTGCAAATATCTTGCCTACATGCTTTGTCAAATATTCCAAGCCTATAGAAAACACGCTTGTTTACCATATGTGACATCTCCATAACATGCTATATGTTCTGATTGTACCTCTTTTTTCAGAGTATACATTCCTAACTTAAATCCAATTCTGAAACTGCTATACCAATTCTGATGAAATCTCAATACAAGTGCAGTAGTTTAGCAATAGCTGAAAAAATCATGGTTCCTGCTTTGTAAGGAACTGAAAAAAGAATTTGACCACATTTATCAGAGATATACCTTTCATTATTTACGGATGTGATTTCAGAATGTCCTTATTGCTTTGCATTTGCAAGCAAGCTTTACTCCACCATTTCAGGACCCAGATTAATAAACTATATAAATAAAATTATATGAACATATTTTTTTTCTGAAATTATAGATGTAAGCATGCATTCATATTTAATTTTTATTTTCTAAATTGCTTCTGATTTTCAGCACATTACAAAGTTGCTTAACAGTTTATTTTGATAATTTCTAATGTACAGATCCCATCAAACCTGATTCATATTTAAGCACTGATTTAGCAAACAGGAATTGCAGAAAAATAAGTAAACAGGCTGATCAAAGAAGTATAAAATGCCTCATCTTTTCTCCAAACTGAACAGACAAATGAATAGGTTATTACAGAGGAAATCCTTCCTCTGCAAGTAATATGAAATCAATTATTCTCTCCTCCTTTCTCATGTTCAATAAAACTCTGATTTTTTTAAAGGATTAAAACATTTGCACATGTGTACTTTCAGAGGCCTCATTTGCAAGAGTGGAATCGGGCCTTTTCTCACTCCCTTTGTAACTTTATTGTTCTCCTTCAATGTCTTACTGGTTTTTCTTCTATGCTTAACACAGGCATTGATATCTGAATTCAAAGCTCATTGTTTTGATTGTAGATGGGAAAGCTAAAAGTCCCCCCACCCTTTTTTAATTTTAGGATTTTTAAAGGAGAAAAAGTATCCTTTAAAAACACCCCCCATAGTCTAAAACTAAATCCAAACAAATCTTTGTTTCCCTGTAAAAAACAAATAGACTTGCTTATTCTGATTTCCCTTCTACACTTTCACTTAAAAAATGTTGTAGTGTCTTCTCTTTATCAATAGGGAAAATTAACAATGAAACAAGTCTCCATAGATGAAGAGAATCTATGGCTATGGCTTATGGTAAGGAAAATTCTGTTATTACTCCCTCCCCAATAAAATTTAAACATTAAATAAATCCTAACCTTAACAATAAATTAATAAAAGCTTTAAAATTAATCAAAGGAAAAAATAGTTATCCCATTTCTTTTGGATGGTGGCCTTTAGCATACTATACAAAGCCCTCAAGCTGAAAAAAGTTGTATTTTCTTATTTTAACTTGTTCAACATAGTTTCCTATGCCTATCACTCTGCTGAGTTAGTTTACAATTTTTTGTAACCATGATCTTAAACTATTTTGGACCAAGGTACAAATCTTATCCATAGTTCAAATTAATTGTTTGTTCGGTTAACATTATTTCTCCTCAATAGATAATATCAATAATAGATGTGTCATCTATTTCTGTTGCTTTTATAGACAGAAAACATAATGTCCTTATACTTACTTGCTGCTCCTTCGTAGACTTTAGGGTTTGTGCCTTTTCTTAAGAACTCAATAGCAATACGACCAAATTCATTGACAACTGAAAAAAGAAACACCATAATGGAATTATGGCTGGGATATAGAAGAACCTCCTTTAAAAGTAATCCATTTGAATACAATATATCTCTATCCACGACAAATTATGAATCTGCTTCTGAATTTACAGACGGAAATTTAGAGAATAATGAATGTGGACAGAAATGGACAAATTAAAGGAAGTAGCAAATCATTATTGACTGCCAGAGTAAAATTTCAATCCTTTTTTTTCACTTATACATTTTCCATATAACAGTGAATTAGATTCTAAAAAATTCTGGCTTGGGAATAAATATTACACTAATGCACAATATTCAAACATTTATGTACAGTTCATTCTGTCAGTTAAATGAACTTGAATGGTACTATTTCTGGTTTGTTTAGTATGTGTGCCTTTGCCTTCTCTCAATAAACCATAATTTAAAAAGAATCCATGATTTCTGATGTTAAGAAACAAGGCAGGGCTCAGGTTAATAACATTAAACCAATTTGCATAGGAATTTAACTAGGAGCAACAGCCAAGTAGCAGCAACAGAGCAGAGTGCCCAAAACTGCTTTTTCGGAGAAAACCAGAATTCCCCAAAAAATTATGTTAGAAATATTTGTTATATGATAGATGATGTTTGTCATATGATAAAAGGACTATTTGGATCACAAAATTACCACGTTCCCTTGAAACGATAAGCCAGAATACTGCCACAACTAACTGCATGTCAACAGTTAGCCAATTTACCTTTAGGTCTGTGGTTTTCCTTGTCATATGATCCAGGAACTCTTACTCCTCTTAAAAGTATTAATATACCATACTTTATAATAAAAGTATTATTATTCCTTGTGTGTCTAATCACACTTGGCCAATAAGAATTCTATTCTATTCTATTCCAATTTATGCAGCATTTTGTTTTAATTCTTTGGCTTCCCCAAATCCCAAAAAGACAAAAATAAGCAAAGTAACAAGAAAAAATGTTTTGGTTTGCTCAAATGTTACATAGTTGCAACATGTCTGTTATGGACTCCAATTATCCGAAAACAATAGTTAGTTGATCTATAACTGCTGTTATAATCTAGGAAGGGTGCTTCATTCAAACATGAATGAAAGTAACAGTGAAGATGGTTTTGCAAAGCATTAAAAAAATGAAGCTTTCCAACTCCTTGGGGAACATTAAAGCAGTTATTATGGTTTGCAATGCTTGTACTGCTACTTTAAAAACTGATCTTGGCTATGGCTACATGAATCATTTTATTGGGATGAAAATACACAGCTGCTTTAGCAGTTCAAGAATAAATGCTATATGTACATTTCTGCATTTTATAAAGCACTTCTGTATGTTTTATTTAGTCTACTAATGAGAACATAAATCACATGTGGACATAAATCAAATTGTTAAATATTTAATCAGTTGGTATACGTAATATTAATCTGTATATGATTCTACTTATACAAGTTTCTACAACTGTGTATAGAAGTAGCGCTATCAATTTTGCAAATTAAACTGCATATGAACTGAACCTGGGTGGGGAAGCTTTGGCAGTTTCTGAAGTGCTTCTGAAGTGGCAGCCACAATGTGCTTCCTAATATTACAGTCTACTTAAATGCAATTGTGACCAGGGAAGTCCCTAGCTCAAAAATTATATATATTCACAAGAAATCACAAAATGAGCCAAATATCACACAGTATACATACAATCTGAACTCAGGTTATATGATTAATTTGGTTCAATTTACTCAATGAATAAAATGTTGGTAGACTTTGCTATGTTTACCCAATACAGAAGCAATCACAAACTTCCTAAGATAGATTAGTTAACTTTGTTAACTAGCCACTTGCATGTTACACAGACCCAGGCCATTTAGCTATTCCATTCCTCAGTGTTTTGTAAAACCTAAAAAGTTTATTTCTATAAGCTGGTTAATCACATTATATCACAGCCACTGTGCTCAGTTACTACCGGTAGTTTGTAAACTATGGCTTATTGCTTAATTTGTTACACGAAACCAGCTAATTATGCTTCATTTAACTGTTAATCAAATCACATTTTAATCAAATATGTGAACAAAGGAAAAATAACTTGTTTCACTGTAAAAATATTTTAACTGTAAAAAAGTGAAATACAAAATAACCAAGGCAAAGTCATTCCCAATACAATTTTTGATCAACTGAAAGTTTCACGATTTTTTCTCTTATAATTTTTGCAAACATTTACATTTAACAAAGATACTCAGATATATGAGTAAACATAGGAATCATTTAGATTTATAGTCTGTGGTCTTCATTTAAAAATATTTACATGAACTTTTGATCTTGAAGATACAGAACAAAGTACTCCTCCTGACACTGTGTTATATAATCTGTTTGGTCTTTGTAAGCTATGCAAGATGTTCTAAAGGTCTTTGCAAAGCTTTCATGTTAAAACTGGAGAATTAACATAGGTCAAATTATAGAGTAGGTTTGCATTTCTTGAAGCTTAAGGTCAAAATGAATCATAAGTCTACATAGAAAATAAAGTAAACACATGTTGGAGAGGTTTAAAAGACGACCATATCCCTAGGCATCAATAAAACTACTATTAGAATTGTTATGCTTACTTGCAATAAATAATTTTACCACAAAAGCAGGGGCAGGAAAGTTATTTTTATTGGGCACTTGATTTTTTTTTGCTACAAACGTATCTGCTGGCAATAAAACTGCGAGGGTAGCCACACTTCCCTGGAAGCGTATTCTAAGGATATCCAAAGGGTGTTTTTAGCTGAGCAAAGGTATCCAGGGCGCTCTGAAGGTCGCAGCCCTAAATAATCCGATACTCCCCACTGAACATTCCCAAATAAACAGGCAAAGGCTTCTGTTGGTATTAGGATTACTTCCGCGCATTCCATCAAGCGCTTTTCCATCTCCCCCACAACCCCAAGGGAAGGGGACGAGGAAGGAGCCGCGATCCCCGGACCCACGCAGGTTCAGAGTGGACGAGGCCATAAGTGGGGCGAGTGGCACGCAGCCCTGCAAGCCCTCGAAATGCTCCTACCTGAACCGTCTACTTGGGGAAGGAAGCCCAGGTGTTCCTTGTGCTCTTCCGACAGCACCAGCAGCATCTTCCTCGCCTAGCGCCCTCCACCGACACAAGCGGCACTTCCCAACTTCACTACCCGCCGGGCAAAATTTCCCACCCGGCTGGTGTTACCGAGATAGCACTCCGCCGAGAGGCAGCTTCCCTCATCAAGGGTTCCCACTCGGACTCGCTTAAAGGCGAACGCGCTCTACTCTATTTATATAGCGTCAGCCCTTATGTGGAGTTCAGGATCTAAATCGAGGCGTTGCTTGCTGCCGCTGCCTCCTGGCAGAACTTTCCTACTCGCTCTCTTCTGTAACGTGTCTAAAACCCTGTTTAAAACATTTTAATGCAGATTTAATATTAAGCATGACTCTACAATACTTACTACTAACAGGGTCGCTTAGAGAGTCCCCTTTTGAAAATGTGAAGGGAAACGTTTTGGTGTCCTGAATTAAAATCTTTAGAACTAAAATAAATTTATTGAACACCCCACAATTAGCTGGTTTTCATAGCCACTCAGGGGTATGAATCATATTTTCCAGAGTTTATGATGGGGTCTGCAATTAAGGAGTAAACTTTTCATATTTTGTGTTGGAACCTACTGTAGCCACCTGCAAAGATACAAGGGATACTTGTCTCCTCCAAAAAAGGCAGGAGGGGAAAAAAAAGTAAGGAACAATTATTGAAGAAGTTGTTCTTGGTCAGGCTCCTTAAAAATAAACTCAGTGAAGTATTGCATACAATGCATCATGTGATGTCCTGGAGTTAGAAATATCAGACAAAACAAACAAACATTAAAAGCAAGCATAAAAGAAAAAGTTTTTATATATAGCAATATGAGCTTGCTTTAGATAAACCAGATTTTAGTTACACTCCTGATATACTGGCTCAGATGTGCCAAAACTAATATTGCATCCTTGTTAATTACCCAACTGCATTTTATTATTTTTCCTCTCCCTTTCTTTCCCCCCATATTTTCTATATTTTGAATGTATTTGTATACATTTTCCTATTTTTGAAATCATATTAGTAATAAATACCTGCTTTAATTAAAAAAAGAAATAATCTAATACACTTCTTTACCCATGGTTGAAATTTATGACCACTGTACAACATATCTACCAGTGATCACCTGGTCTATTTAAATACCCCCAAAGAAGGCAATAAAAGTAGTCCTTGACTGTTATGAATGTAAGTCACCTAATGGTTATTTGGGTTGGAAATATATAAGCTAAGATAGACATTTTAATACTGTATCTTTAGGAGAATGCTAAAATTGTAATTGGGTGTGGTTCCACAAATGGCCATAAGATAGAGCCAGAAACCTGGGTTGTTTAGTCTCAGTGAAGTGAGTCTGTTTCCTTCTGTTGGAGAGTTTTGCTGTTCCTCCTAATGACTGTTACTGATCGTTGATGTAAGTCTGTTACTGAACTGTTTTTTGACACTGGACTTTGATAATTGGATTATCCCTGAACTAAAAACTGACTGCTTTACCTATGAATGACTTGGACTGCTTATCTTGAACTGTGCTTAAACAGTAAAAACATACATTTACTGTACAGTTTATCTGTATGCTGTTTGTATATTATTCTTCACTACTCTCACTATGCCTCCCTGTGTGCACTCATTCTCCTAATGGGGAATTACCTCAACACTGACTTATGACCACAAGGGTTGTGTTTGACCTTAGGGGTGGGCATGACCAGGTGATGTCACGCATGTTAGGAACATCTATGGTGGACTGAGTGCTCTGCCAGAGAAAACAGGCTCCCAAGCTCCATTTTTGGCTACTATGGCCTCCTGCAACCCGCTGCTACTATGGCTCTCCCAAGCTCCGTTTTCACTGGCAGAGGGACCACAGGCCAGTACCTTCACTGTTTCCAGGGCGACCCCATGGACCAGGTCTAAGAATCCAGCCCCCAGGCCTTGAGTTTGACACCCCTGCTGTAGAACTTCATTCATTAGGTTTAATAGCAGCAAAAAAGGGGTAGGATACAAAACCTTGAAAACTGAATAAGTGAACCTCCAGCCCTCATTTATTAGATTTTCCTTTCTCTCTTGCTGTAAGAGGTCATTGAAATAGCAGTCTTTCTGGCAATAATGTTCCAACATATCTCGCCTCAGTCCTGTAACAACTATAACTTATTGTTCTCCAGGCAGATTCAATTCAATAAATTAGTACAAAATGATAATTATATTAAGACATGTTAATGATTTAATAAATAAGAATGTATGAATTCTAAGTGACAGAAATATATTTCAAAAGCATTAAAATGTTTTATAAATAGGAATCAATTATATCTGACAAATTTGGGAATGGCATTATAATTCAGACTGTCAGTCTTCTTTCCAAATTAGGATAAGAGAGTCCACTCCTCCAATTATAGTACTTTTTTTACATGCATGTAAGCAAAGATCATTTTTAATATTCAGATGATTCTTCTGAATACCAACTTCTTTGTCCACCACAATCTTTTTCAAGGTTTCCAACCCACTCCATTTCAGTCCCATTGCTGGAGCTTCAGAAAAATTAGTTTGCTGATTGAGTACAATGCTTCTGTTTAAAGAATCCCCAATAGGAGTCCTCCAAAATGTTCAAAAATTACGTATCACCGTTTCATATTTATATAAACCAATTGTGATAATCCTTTTGGAATGCGAATGGCATTTCAATAGCAATGGAAGCAGTTGAAAAAAGAAGATTCCAGGATCCTCAGAATATGTATGAAGGTAGCCCAATGCAACTTTGCTTGCCAGGATGCATTGTTTCCGTAAACCTTTTTGGTTAGTCTAACTACGGTATTATATAGTCTATTTCATCTGAATCTAGTTAGTATGTGGGTTTACATATACTTTTTCTAGCTAGGGTTCTTGCAATGTCCAATTGTTGCAACCAAGGCTTCTCTTTAAATTCACTGCAATAAAAGATATAGATATTTGTTACTTTTGCAGCCACATATAAGGTATCAATTAATTATACATACATATAAAAGCAAGTATACCCCAACTATTCCATCATTTACAAAGTGATAATGTTATGTCCAGACTCTTAATACCAGTGGTGGTATTCAAATAAAGTTGCCACCGGTTCAGTGGGCGTGGCTTGGTGGGCCCGCTTTGCATGCATGCACACACTTGCGTGCCCGCATGCGCCAAACACACTTTGCGCAGGCACAGAGGCATTCTAACTCACCTCCTGCAAGCCTGCATAATGCTGGTCAATGCAGCAGCTGCCGTGCGGTGCTATTCTGCACCGCGCAAAGCAGCTGCACTTTGAATTCTGGCCATAAAAGCAGGTGGGTGGGCCAAACACAGAGCAGCAGAGAGAACTGGATTGGTTTCCACTGCTCATCGCCGCTACCAGCTCTCCAGAACTGGGCAGAACCGGTTGAATACCCCCACTGCTTAGTACGCATTATTAATAGAAAACATATAGACAAGTACCTTGGAGAAGACTACTCTGTGATATGTTATTTATGCTTGTGTTCAAATGATACAGTTGGCTATTGTAATTGCACAGAGTTTGATAAATAGACAGTATATAAAGGTAAAGGTTACCTTCACACTGAACTGATACCTATTTATCAACTCATATTTGCATGCTTTCAAACTGCTAGGTGGGCAGGAGCTGTGGCCAGTAACAAGAGTTCACCCTTCACATACTGCAGCTGCCAGCTTTCCAGCTAACAAGCTCAGTGTCTTTACTGCTGAGCCATTGCATCCCCTCAATAGATTTCTCATAAAATAAAATTTTAAAAGGCTGCTAAATTAATGTATTTTTGAATTTGACATACTGCATCAAAGAGCAAACTAATACATCTTCTGTATTTGATACCCTAAACTCTTCTCAGAAGCTTCTTCCAACAGAATGTTGCAAACTTGACAGAGATGTTGCCTAATGAAGTGGATCAAAAAAATTTTTTGCAGGAGAAGACAATCCACACTTTAGTTTTATTTAATAGTTTTTTTAAAAAATATTTCATTATTCTGCAAATCAGTTAAAATCAACTTGCTCAGCCTTGACCTAGACTCCCACTCTCTTCTAAGGGGATTAGTTTATACTGAAATTACTGTTGCCACTTGATGGCAGTATCTATGCATCAGAATGTTTATATTTTCAGAAGCTCCTCCAAATGATAATTATAATTGGCAATTGTACAGGATGATTTATTATGAAGTCCTACTCACTTCTTTTTAATATCTACATGAAACTGCTGGAATAGGTGACCCATAAACTCAGTATCATTTGGAAAATGTTTTGAATACTTCTGTCACACAAAAAAGGCTCTAGGCTGGGTAGACTGTAGCCTACATGCAGCCTCTCAGCATTCAGGTTAGTGTCCCCTGACACTGTAAGATCACATTGTCAATTATGGAAACTAATCACTATTTTTGTCACAATTTTTTAAGTTTAATTTTGGGATTGAGGCACCTCTTTAAGACTGTGAATGGAAGAATAAGGTCTCCATAAGAAAGAAAAAAAACTTCTAATGCTGCTTTTCAAATTATGTATTTCTGACTAAAGACCAACACATACCTGGCTATGGCTAAGCAGTAGATTGCATTCTCTCTTGGAGTTCTTCCACAGTATTGTGAAAATGACTCCAGGGAAGGATTTAGCAGAAACTCTACATTAGGTATGGAATAATAGTAAGCTGGCTTGAGGAGAGAATTAGAAGGTAGAGGAACTCTTGCTAAACACATATTTTGGTCCATATATTCTTCACTAAGCCGTGTGTTCTTCTTTGTAGGCTTCCTTTTTTGCCCGTGTCCATCTTTGCTACCTCTCTTCTTTGCACCTGCCAGTGGAGGTAATCTAACGTTTTTCGCTTTGAGGCACATATCAGATATGGTCAAATGGTACTGAGATTGCTCATGTTGAAACCGATTATTTAAATCTGGCAGTGTGCAACCTCTGCTACTTGCATGTTTGATCATGGCTGAGCAAAAACCTTTGGAGGTCATTTCTGGTTTTGTGAAACCATCCACAAAGACAGCGTCCCCAACTTGTGTTCTGAAGACTGCAGCAGGGTTTCCCTTCTTGATTGAATTGATGTTATTTTGAGATTTAAGAAGCCACAGCTTTAGTTTAATATAGATTTTCATGGGCAGAGAGAATGTAGGATAAGAAACCACTGACCATAACTTGGTGACTAAATACAACACACAATCTTTATGCCTGTGCTGGATACATAACTGCAATGGAGTTTGCCCTGCAGAATTTTGGCATTCAAGGGATAAGGCACTGAAATTAACAAATGCTTTCAGTATCATAAGTTGGCCTGCTTCTGCTGCAGCATGAACAGGACATTTCATGTTGTCAGAATGATCGTCTTCCTGACACCATTCACGATAAGGATGTACACCAATTGTTTCAGTGGGCTTCATTCCCTTTTTCAAGAGCCAGATTGAAACCTGAAGGTGTCCGAAAAAGGCTGCTATATAAAGAGCTACTCTCTTTTGATATCTGAAACAATGTGTGCAAAAAAATAATAATGATTAGCCATGCAAAGAATAGTATAGTATTTTTAAAATCACAAGTGTAATCAAAATTATACTAGAGAAGCATTATGGATTTACATACAGCAGTATCTCATATAACCCAGCACTAAGATTGATAAATAACAACCAGCACCCTGAAACGATCTTGGAAGCCTATAGTAACCAATGCAGCAAAGGCAAAATAGGTTTAATTTTCAATAGAAGACTTGACCTTCTTGATTTTAACTTTCACTTTCCTTCTGCCTATTCCCTCTATCCTTCAGTTCTCTCTACTTAATGACCATCTTGGAACAAACATTCTAATCTAAAATAAAACTGGATTTTGAAAAGTGTATGATGAACCTCCATACCTGAGTATTGGTTCTTCCTTTGACAGATAATACTGGATTTTTGGTTTGTTTCCCAGGATACAGCTGGTTAAGAATTCTCTCCATCCATTCCAAACATCCAAACGAAGAGTTGTGCCTGTTAACAGAAAACATTGTCATTTATTTCTGTTTCTGTCTTTGTTGGCTAAAAGGTACTATTCATTCTCTTCTGAAGTACTAGATTTTCATTTCATGAACAGTAGCAGGAAAAGTGAAATTTAAATTTAGAAAGGGACCTATTTACATAGTATTATAGACATAATGTAAAATTGAATCAACATTAATTCAGAAGAATAGCTAAATTATCTAACCATAAACATCCTTAAAAGTGTTAAATTTTATTTGCTTATTACCAGTTGCTTATTTTCTAACATTTTTAAATCGTCAACCATGTGCAGGTATTAGGATTTGAAGACTGAAGGGATAATAAATATGAAAACCTTATTTCATTTTCTCTCAGTAAGTGTAAATATTTCTTATAATATAGTTCTGTATGTCTACTCAAAAATAGCTCGCTTTAGATTCACTGAGACTCATTAACCGTCTCAGCTGAAGAAATCTGGACTACAATTTTGAGTCACTGAAATAAGATCCAAAGGTCCTATACTTATCAACTAAAAACAGACATAATATGCAAACAGTCTTATACCTATATCTAAGTGATAATCATTCGGAGTATTGCAGTCAAACATCTCCCTGCCCTCTGGAGTCCTGAGACAATAAATGCTACTTGGAAAACCACATTTCAATGTCACTAAAGTTTTCAGTTCTGAAACCTTTGATGAAAGAAGATAAATCCTTCCCATTATGGGCAATCTTTCATGAGTGACTGGGTTGTATACATAGAAAATTGGCTTGTCTTCTTCCTGGTGGAGAAAACAACATTAATGAACAAGAAACATAATGTATATGACATGTCTTAAATAATTTAGTTCCCTTCAGATTTGTTGAACTGCAATACTACATTTCTACAATTATTGAACTGCAAAATTTAAATTCCTAGTCAGAATGTACAAATATTTGGTGGACATTGGTTTGACAAAGGCAATTTTAAATGTATGTGCAAGAAACCTCCCTCACGTATATAGCTGATAGTTAATGTTTATCTTACAATTTGTTACAGGAGGTAACAGTTTGTTATTAACTGTAATTAAAATAAATGAGATTGTCTTTTTTTTCTCCTAACTCTACCCACCTTGTGACATATATCCTTATTTATCCTATTCAAAGAACAAATGCAGCCCTAGGCTTGAAAAATGCTGTATATGCTGAGAATTAGGTTTAAAATTATACCCTCTTAAGATCAGTTCTGGTAGTCTTTGGATAACTTTTAACATTCTTTTATTCTGGCTTAATTTCCATCTCCAGAGTGAAAAGAATCGCTAATATGCTTTTCAGAATGAAAATATACAGAAAGAAATCATATAGAATATTTTCCACAATCAAAAGAGCTATAGCAATGGAAGTGCTTGTTTCTCATGTGGGATCTAAAGCTTGACTATGCACTTATGTAATTACTAATGAACTTGTATGAATGCAGTTCCTTTCCAGTCTAACTTTTTTTGCCTGCTTATTTAGAAATTAAGTCCTGCTAAGTGCAAAGACTAGATTGAGAAGACGGCAGCTCTAATGCTTTTCTTATTTTTATGTCCTATGTACCACGTAATGCTGCACCAAGAACAATAATTTTGTCTAACTCCTGAATTGATAAAATAAAAAGATAGCAATAATTCCTGGTTTCTCAATTTAGTTGCAAGTAATTTTCCCTTCCCTGCTTATATATTAGCTTCAAAGAAACAATGAGAATTTCTTATTTTCTTTTCTCTTTCAAGAAAAGGCATTAACATCATGGCACAGAATTCCTTATTTACATTTTAAAAAAATAATGTGCAATTCTAGCACATAAGTCACATATCACATTTTCACACTGCGCAGTCATTGTATAACTATGATTTACTAAAGGTTCTAGTTTACACAAAATTATGTATGTGTCCTTCTGTTCCTTAGGGAGGCAGAAAAGTATGGTGGTAATTAATTTTGCAAGACCAATTAAACCATGTCCAAAAATAGTTCAAGATTGGTGGGGCAACAGAGAGTTGTTGGGGGAAGCAGAAGAAAGTTCACAAGGCGTATCTGGAAAGCCCCCTCCCATAAGCACTTGGTATGAACTGCCATAATGACAGCCAAAGAGCTGAAATATGCCCTTTGTACTTGTTTCTCAATGTTGTACCCTCTATTATGGGATTTGTGTTGTAATGTCATTATATATACTTCCTCATTTTCTCCCCTCGTCATCCTTCCACTTGGACCCGTTCATCCCCAGGCCAGTCTCCATCTCACTGGGCTATGTTTAAAATTATATTCAAACATTGTTTGAAGGACTGGTTGCAGGGATGGAGGAAAGATTGTGAAAGATAGTTTTGGGTGTGCAGCTTTCTGCCTTACAATACAAAACCTTGACTGTAACTGAAATCTATCAGCTGGGCATGAGATTAAAACTGTGGAATGCGGACAGTTTCAAAAAGCTCTAAAAATAGTTAGTGGGTATCTTCATGCTACACTTAAGGGATATGAGGTTGAGCTATGTTTTTTTTTTTTTTTGGAAATCAAAATAGTAACTTTTGTCTTCTTGGCTGATTTACTCTTGCTGTTGCCACCATACTGTACGAGTCTGTCAGATTCTACCAAAGACTGTTTTATTTGCTGAAAATTAAACTTGATATACACATCCATCCACCATTCTCAATCACTCTTATTAGTCTCGTGCTATGTGCTACAGACGCTGATGGATAAGAACTAATGAACAAGTCAAATTTTAGAATACATGGCATACCAAGACACATAAAACATATAATTGTTCATTTGAAAGAACTTCTTAAAATGTTTATAAGTTCATTGCAATCGGAGTGAGTCTAAAGATTCTCACGGTCTTTATGCATTCTGCTTTATTATTTGAAGATTACTGTATTTCATTTGTAGATTGTAAATTATTCTCAAGAGTGATGATGCTAGCAGTTCAATAACGTAAAGAATTTCTGTATTAGGCAGTTTTTTTGTTCTTTTTAAACCGTACCTTGATGACACATTTAATTGAGGAAGAAACTGTAATGCCTACATCAGCAAGTACCCAGTTGTCCTTTAGCACTGCTCCTGCAAATATCAGCTCCAAGTATCTCCTCCCTTGTTTGTCTTCAGAAAGTGGAACATGAAAATAATCCTTAATAGAAGAAAACAGATTTTTTAAATAAAAAACCATAAACACTAAAAGTTGAAGGTAAATATCCAAGTTATCATTCAATAACCATAGTTGTAGGAACTAGGGGGAAGGACTGGACCTCAATAACAGGGATATTTAGTCTGTTTCCCTGGCATGTAAATGCAGAGTTGGCGAACCCTTTTCTGAATTATGTAAAACAACTATCAGTGAGTGTGAACCAGTTTCCCTCAACCCATCACTCTCTATTGCGCTAGACTTCAATTCCCATTATTCTCAGACAACATCCTTTATAGAAGTTAAAGTCCAATGTATTCAGAGGGCAAGGATTTGAAGAAAGCTAATGCAAATATTAAGCTAGATAAATCAGTGATTTATTTTGGTGTAAGGTACTTTCCTATGTCCATAACTAATATAAACATGTCAAAGTCCACCATGAGATTAAACACAATTTAAGCAGAGCAAGGTGAAAAGCAACTCTCGCATAGGATGAATGGCAAGTGTCAATATTGTGAAGACATAGTTAAAGAGATGGTTTACTTTTTAGAAGCTTGAATAAGAGAACATGTACCTTGAGCAAAGGCACATAATGATTAGCAAGCACTGATTTTGTTACTAATTTCTTAGAAGTACCAAGAGTTGTAACTCAGCAGTTATAGGGTTTCCTAGTCTTGTTTTACCAAGTGCCTAGAGGTTAGAAGTTTGGTTGATATTTAACATTATTTCAATAGTGCTGTTCTTCTTAGAACAGCCCCTAATAGGTTACTATTAATATAAACTGACAACAAACCACACCCCTTACTAGCACTGATAAAGTTGCCTAGTTTGGGTAATAAAACTTCTGCAAGAAAACAAGCAAGCTCAGAGAGCACCAAGAACCCCTCAGTTTACCATTGAACCAAGGAGGTTGGCTTAAAATCACTTGATGAGGCAGGATTTTTTTATATCAGCTCTATGGTACAGTTATTCCAGTGCCTGATCTTCCCTTTACATGCCATAATATGGTACAATAATATGGTACAAGCAGGGATGTATGTTGCAGTAGACAGCATAACATCTTCCACAAGATAAGTTCAGCAGTTTAGAAGCTTCCGGTTTGAGTCTCTTCAGCGACAGACCAAAATCTGCGATCGTGCGCAGTTTCGACCTGTGCTCGCCACCAGAATGCCCCGAGCCAGCTGGTTTTGGGGCTAAGCCACCCCGTACAGGTAGTGAAGAGGGGGGAAACTGTCAGCAGGGTCGAGGAGAGCCGCATCTCTCTTCCCCAGCTGGCCATTACTCCCTTTCCCAAAGGCGGTTGCAGCGGTGGTCAGAAATGGCCACCTCAAAGAATAACTGAACCGGAAAAGAATGCAGGAGGAAGATAAGAAGAGAAAGTTTTGGCCTACCGGGTTAAACTGAAAAAGCAATAACGTAAAGTACCCTGGAATTTAAACTAAATACCATTGTTCCCAAAGAAGATTTTGAAGCAGCAAAGGAGAGAAAAAAGGGAAAGGATTAGTTTTTTTTTCTTCCCTTTCATATACTGAGAGCTAAGAGACTTAAGCAAGAAATTGAAAAAAAATCCACTTTGACATTAATAGGCATTTAAGTTGAAAATGAAAGTCAAAGGGATAATAAAGATTTCTGGATATTTAAAAGTTTTTAAAAGCAGGAAAGGAGAATAAAAAAGAATAAAAGGGTAGGATGGAGTGAGATGGAGGAGACTGCCTGGAACTAAGAAATGGAACTGTAACTAAAAGGAACTTACAGTGAAATTTTAACAAGATTCCTCAAAGATACATTTTAACTGAAACTTGGTAACAAAATAATAGAACCCCAGGAAGAGAAAGTGGAAAAAAGAAGCAAGAACAAACAGCCTTGGATTATTTGGATTACTTGGTGATTTTTGGCTTTTGCATCTAAATGACTAAAACTAATTGGGTGGTTGTTTAAAAGTGTTTAAAATGGCATCACTCTTAGAAGAACTGAAAATGGAACTTTAAAAATGGAAAGAAGATGCACAAGAACGGAGAGGTTCTTTTGGCTTCGTATTTCAATTCTTAGATATGGAGATCTGGAACTATGAGAAACAACAAGAAACGCTTGCAGAACAAAAAGATCAGGACAAAGAAGAAGTCATCTTTAATGATCAAATAATTTTAAGTGGGGGAAAAAAGGAAAGGGGGGGAAAGAGAGTGAAAGGTTTAAGACTAGAAAAAAAAACCAAAAAAGAAGAAGAGTTTGAAAGATAACTATAATATTAGAAAGCAACAGAAGAGAGGATTACAGATGAGAGAATTAGAACTAGAGAGACGAGGGGGTAAAAAGGGGAGGGAGAAGAAGAGGGGGAAGAAGGTAAGGAAAAGAAGTTGTAAAAGACAGAAACAAGATATAGAGAAACAGGGAAAAGATATAAGGATTGAAACCATAAGCCTGTTTAGAGATAATGGGTGAAAATTTAATTGTAAAAGGGATTCTGCAAAGGTACATAAGATAGCATTGTTATATTACAAATAGAAATAATTTTAGAAAATATGACTAAAATGATGGATAAAATATTCACTGTAATGTAGTGGAATGTTTGTTAATAAATAAATGAATTAAAGTGAATGAGATAATCAATTTAGGAAAGGATGGGAACATTTTAATTATTATTAATGATTTATAAAAATATAAGTGAGAAATATGGGAAGAAAAAAGAATTAATTATGGAAAGTTTATAAGTGTTCCTAAGGAAGTATTATATTTAATTGAAAAGAAATGTTAAAGATGTTAAGATTTTAATGAATATTAATGATAGAATTGAATTGGAATGGAATGTGTGAGATATATATATATAATCTTTTCTTTTTAAGAATATAGTGTGTATTTTAAGAATGTACCAAGCAGAATTCGATTGGAAGTTATGTATTATACTGAATGCTATAACCTTAAAGGTATACATTGAAGCTTAAATAAGAGTTTGAATGGATAAAATTAGAAGATGTAAAGGTGTCATACTCCAATTAGTAACTACAGGGGAAAATTTGTTTAATGAGAAAAGATAATATGAAATTGCAACAGGAGAGACAAAAGTATAAATATAATGATTTGAATTGAGATAATTAAAATAAAGTTGAGAAAATTAAAAGAGGGGAAAAACCATGTAGAAAATATAAAACAGTAATAAGATATGGAATAGAACATAAAAATGAGCATGAAATTGAGTTTGTGTCTGTATGAAGAAGTGATAACCTGGGACCATACTATTTTCAAAAAAAGATGTTTTATTTATATTTTGTTTTTGTGAAAACCCAAATAAAATTTTCAAAAAAAAAAAAGATAAACTCACCAGTTTACAATGGATTACAAAGGCTGTCAAGATCTCCACATGCTTACCAGCTTTGCTCTATCTTCAAAATTATCTGAATAATATTCTAGGATTACCTAATATTTAGCTAAAAATTTGAATCAGTAACAACAAATGATTTCTGCTCTTGCACTGGATTCAATGTGAACGATCCCATTGTACTTGTAGTGGAAGATGCAGTACCAGATCCTGTACTTCCTTGTTTCTGTGTGGAGCATCTTAGCACCCAGGCTCTGTTCTGGTAGTATTAATGGTCTGATTTTTTTTATATGCATTCTTTTAAATCTGTTTTTTTTTTAACTCAATGGATTCTACTACTCTATAAGTAAAGTTACATAGGACTGAGTTGTTTTATTTGCAATTTATTTATCACAGCGTGATCAATAGTTTTGTTGCAGAGAAGAAAAGAGTCCTCAACAAACAAACAAGACAAACATCTGCAATTCACAGCAGTTAAAGTGTGTGTCAATGTGTGTGTGTGTGTATGTGTGCGCATGCGTGTTTCTTGCTATGTGTATGTGGCTGTGTATGCTCTATACTCCAGGAATGTTTACATAATTATTCTCTTCACCTTCAGAAGTCCTCTCCTTGCTAGTTTCAGACCTTATATCTCCTTCACTGGGAGTCCCTTTCAATTGAATAGGACATCATTTTAGAGTAAACGTTTAAAAAGGAATGCAGAGTGTCCATACTCTTTGTATGTAGCTACTGTATTTGCTTTACCATATTAATTCACACTATTATATAGATATGGGTTTAATGGTGGTATGCTAAATTATGAAGATGAAAAAGAATGTTTTACTTTTCTGTTCTTTTCCACCCAACAGAATGTTGGACAGGGACTGTGTAAAGAGACTCAGGACTTGTTCATCTGTTTGTATGTTTATCAGCAAGGTAACTCTGCAAAAACTGAATAGAACATGACAAAGTTTGGAGGGGAGAATCTGGAAAAAAAATTGAGTTTGAAATCAGGCCAGATCAAGATTGGGGCTGCAGAGAAAAACACGTAGGAAAAAAAAATCCCTTATTTCTATAAGAGAAGCAGTGGGCAGTTGCTCAGAATGTTGCCAACTGTTTCATTCTAAGCCTGATTTCTCACATGACTCAGACCAGAGCTATTATTAAGGAGTTGAAAAAAAAAATCCAAAAAGTGCATGCTTTCTCTACCTGATTTGTATTCTGCAATTAAAGGAAATAGGACTAAACCATAAACACATGAATCCTTAGGTTGCAGCCCTTTGTACTTCAACTCCAATGAATTTTGTGTAAATATGCTAGTCATGTGGCTTGTGTTACTAGTTATTTAGTTTTTTCTTTGTTAACCTCTCACATTCAAACAAAATAAACAACCCTCCCATATAATGTATGTACGGAGAGAGAGAGTTTTCAAATTATTTGCAGACTGATTTTCTAGAAAGTAACTGTTCAAAAGGAAAAAAGGAAGTCATAAGACAATTCTAGTTTCATATAACTTAGTGATTGTAACTTAAATTAGAAGCATGGTAGCAACAGTTCCTTGTTTCACAAAAAGCTTTGTACATACCGGAAAAGAGATTTTTCTTCATTTTGGCAGTGAACTTTATTACTGATTTCAATTTTTCACAGGGAGAGAAAATCAAAAGTTCAAAAAAGGAAGCAATTAGATAAAGATCAACTTCTTACCTTTATCATCAGTTTTACGTCTTGTACAGTATTCTCTGGTGAAATGTCAAAAGATTCACAGAGCCCTTCAAAAGCGACAAATATCCTCATTCTGAAAGATGTTATTTACATTCTTCAAATGACTTTAATAAGCTTCATTTTACCACAATAGAAGTGTGTATGTGTGTGTGTGGGGGGGGGGGAAATCCCAATTTTTTAAAGTATCCAGTCTAAACTTGCATATTCTCCTTTAAAAGCAAAATGTAGTCTGGAAAATCCTCTGAAGCAGCCAGTCCATGGAATCTGAAAACAGTAAAAAGAATTTGATCACAGACTGAGTTGAAAAGAAAAAAAGTTTGCTTTACAAACCTAATTAATCTTTCAAAGCACGTACTGACCAAGGCAAGCATGAACAAGATTTCAGCATGTATAGACTGCTGTTCCCAGCCAATCATGCAGCAGTATTTGCTCAATGACATTTATCTAAGCTCAAAATACAGTCTCTTGACTTAAATTAGTATATGTTTACTCAATTGTTCATAGCAATCTTCAAACTTTATGTAAAGAAATCTAAGCTTTGTACTCATGTTACCATAACAACTCTGTAAACCTGTTAATGTGAGTAACCTTGCCAGCTTAGCTTGGAAATCAACAGGATCTGCCAACAGCTTGAGGTTTTCAGGGTCATATAAGCAAGTAAGATGTAAGATGCCAGGGGAAAAAGAAATGTCTATTTTATATTCTTGTATTCTATTGTTTCCTTTAGGAAAGCGAAATATTTTCCTGTGTATAAGGAGGGAAAAGATTCTGGGGGAGGACTCCAGGCTCCACAGCTAAGGCCAAGAGATTTGGTGCCTCCCTGGTTATCAGGTGGGAAAGTGACAGTATATATCACTAAACACACTCAACAACCCATAGGACATCAGTTTCTCAATGGTAAATCATTCACAAAGCATTTTGTTTACTTTCATTATGCTTTACTTCAAACATTCCATAATTCAGGCTTATTCTGAAGCAGAAAATATACAATGAGCCTTTTTGCATTCATATACTATTCAGTGACTTACTAAAAAATACGAACATGGTTTGTCTAGCATAAAATGCTTTCTAAATATTGCCTCTTGCTATCATTTATATTGTTTCCATCAGATTTTTGCCAAACATCTTTCCAGGTACATTTAATAATCTCCTTAATACCTCATTTTTACATTGTATGTATATGTGTGTGTGTGTGTGTGTGTGTGTGTGTGTGTGTGAGAGAGAGAGAGAGAGAGAGAGAGAGAGAGAGAGAGAGAGAGAGAAACATTGAAAATGCAAATATTTTAACACCTCTAGTATTTTCCCTTTTCTGAGGCTGAATCCATTTACAGAGTCAAGCACAATACTCTATTTTTTGGTTCAAAAATCATCCCTTTAATAAATTTCCCTTCAGTAAAAAAAAGTTGAAAATTGCTGTATTCTGATTTCCCTTCAATGAATAGCAGTAGAAGTACAATAGTTTTGACTCCCTCAATGAGAGAAAAAGGGAAGCACACTTGTTTTCCCTTTTCTATTAAAAAAAACCAGGAATTGGAGTTTGCTGGAGAAACACTGAAGTGAAACCTTGAGAATGAAACTATTTTGATTCATGGTTCCATTTATTGCTAAAACTGTTATTATTGTTCCGTAAAGTCTATTGCCTAGTATAACTTTATAGCATATTTTCTGTACATCTTGCCTCTAAAAAGCTGAAACCAAAACTGTCCTTGATTACCTTTCTGCTTCTATACTCTGGAATAGATATGTTATTCAGCAGGTTCTGACCAGTTCTGGATAATTGGTAGTAGAAATTTTGAGTAGTTCAGATAACTGACAAATACCACCTCTGACTGGAGATTTTACAGCATCCTTCCCCTGCCACGCCCACCAAGCCATGCCCACAGAACTGGTAGCAAAAATTTCAATCCCACCACTGCTCTTGGAGTAAGTCTAGATGTCCCTCTGTTTGAAGGGGGACTTTCTCACTTAACTCTAATTTCTTTATATATATCCTGATTTTTTTTTAATTTGGAACCCTAATAACAGAATTTCTCTCATTCTTTTTATTGTTGTTGTAAAAACTATTATCTATCTAAAAAGTGGAATGAAGATACAGTTAAATAAAAAATAATTATTTAATATAAAATATGCATGAACTGTTTTCCCTCTTACATCCTAAAATCCTTTTAGGATTATTATTATCCAGTTTGTGGTCATTTATAAGAATTAAACAATACAAGATCTATAATGCTCTTTATTTTTAATAAATTAACCCCAACAAACATTTCAAGCAAAACAACAAATGTTCTTTCACCCATTCACTAAGAGATTAGGAATATTTTAAGGAATTTGACAATGACTGAAAGGACTTTTTTTCCTAATGTCAAAATTTGCAAAAAAAAAATGTTCATTCTAATTAGCACTAGAGAAAGAGCTAAATAATGAGTGGTTTTCAAATTTGCAGGATTTTTCTGCTAGCCATCCTTGTTGCACTTCAAAAAGTTTGTTAATATTTAGGCCAGATCTTCCTGATATAGACCCCACAATTATTAATGTGTCTGTAGATACTTCCCTGAGCATATCTGAGACTTGCTTGTTTTTTTCCAAATTTTAAGAAGGATTTAAACACAGAGAGAGAGAGAGAGAGAGAGAGAGAGAACTTTAAGTGAAAAGCAAACTTGTTTGATTATTTCTAATTATAATTATCTGCAGCCTTAAATATAAGGCTTTAAATAATGAAATGTGTGTTGTTAGAATTAGTTGCAAATCATTCCTTCTTTGATCTCCAGAAGGAGCCAAAACAACACTAAGTATTTGCTTTCACAGTTGCTGAAAGAGAAGTAGAAAGAAAACAAGAAAATAGAACTTCTTGCAATGTTAATTTTTTCTGCATTTCCTGCTTCATCCTTTTGCTAACTGGAAAAAAGGATTCAAGCATAAAGCTACAGTATTAAGGACAAATTTTAAAATCACTTCTTGCAACTCCAGTTTATTTATAAAAATAAACTCCTTGTTCTAGCTTTGTGTATAAGCCAGCATGTGGCTGTCATGGTCTATTGACACCAATTATTCCTGTGCAAAGTTATACAATTTGAACATTAATTTGCCATTAAGAAAGGAAAGAATATGTAGGCAGTCTTAATATTTCTTTGGATACTGAAAGTATTTATTTCAACAGCCATCCCCCCTCCCCCCCAAAAAAGCTAGTTTACAACTAAGAAAACGGATGGTAGATTACTTCCTTTTACAGGGAAGTTTTAAGTTGAACAAGTGATCACGTTGTATCTCATGGTAGGAAATGAATTTGTTTGCTTGCCTTCTGCGACATTAAATACTGTGGAAAGGGAACTTCACAAAGACAGTAGTGCCACAAAAACAGGAAAAGCCCAAGGGGAACATCAGGTCAGCCAGAAAACAAACTTACATAGGAAAAGGAATCAAATAAAAAGTATTAAAGAATCCCTATAGACAAAAGCCTAAGTAATTAAGAAAACTAGACAAATAGGAAAAGGAAACAAAAGATAATTTAGAAAACCCTTACAAACAGGACATACCAAATAAGCAAAACAAACAGACAAAAGACACAAAATATAAATTACAAAAGGGACAGACAGGAGATTGCCACAGAACAAATATGAAAAACTATCTTAAAGCTAAAAGAGATTACAGAAAACCAATGATATAATCTGGCCACCCCACGGAGTTTGCCTTCCGCACCCCGTGGAATTTGCCCTCCGGCGGGAATAAAGACAAACAAACAGGATTTGAAACATTAGGCTCAAATATAAACACTCACACAAAATCAACTTACAAAGGGAGAAAAGGGTATAAAAAACCAGGGACTTACCATAAGAAGCTAGCTAGCCCAGGAACACAGACTTCTCACTGTTCTCCGCCTTCCTGAAAAATAAAAAGATCCAGCTTTCAAGCAGTTGTCCATATTCTTGCGCTGGAGCTCTCCCAGCGGGAAAATCGAATCCTTGAAAGAAAGACATTTTGACACCTTTCAACAATACATTTAAGTCAATCTAATTGACCCAAAGGTGCTTTTTCAAGAGACAATCTGACTTTCTGGTTTTACTTTGAACATGTTTCACTTCTCATCCAAGAAGCTTCTTCGGAAGTGAAACATCTTCAAAGAAAAACCAGAAAGTCGAGTTGCATCTTGAAAAAGCACCTTTGGGACAACCATGGCCTAGATGACTGAGAATGGCCTAGATGACTGATAATTTCCATAAACATTCAGTCTAACTGATTAACATATGCATGTTTTGAGCAACATTGTATCCTATGGGCCTCAAATTTTGTAAAAGGTAAGCAACACTTTTCATGCCTCAGACTAGCAATGACTCATTCATAGATTGTTCTTATACTTCCTAACAGGAATATCAGGATATTGTACAATTTGTAATGGCTTTAGCACGTGTGCATTTTGATTGTGTTGTTGTTTTGATAATCTGAATGAGGTATTTGCATTAAAAGCATGTCACAGAACTGAATTAAATACTCTATACAAATAATTAAACAGCTGAACATTATGTTCTTTAGAGACTACTAATTCAATAGAAAATTAATAATTCACAATATAATGACTAATTTCATACTAATATTGCTATTATTGATCTCCTGCCTCTTAAGGTATGTTTCATTTTAATCACTAAATGAACTTCATTATCTTCAATGCCCTGACCTGATGTTCTCCAAACTTGTATTTCAATTTCCAGTTTGTGACAAAATGAAGGAATTGTTTAATGGAAAGTATAAGATTTGGAAAGGACCTCTTTAACATTTATTCCTTATTAGTAAAATCCTTCTTTTAATTAGGCTTACTTTCTACAAAATGTCTATAATCCATACCTTTCTTTCTCATACCAAAGCATGACTCTATAATCTTTGATATGTTGGGAGGAGAAATTCTTAATATTGAAGATGAAAAATAATCCCTGTATGTTCAAGGCATACTGTTAAAATTCTTAAGATGTTTACTAATACAGAACATTATATATGACACAATTACAGTATATTGGCTGGGAACATATGATGCGATATGCAGAAACCTTGCTAGGATTTAGTGCAATACAAACTCAGTTCATAATATTATGGAGAATTTTTAATGTTTGAATGCAGCTAATTATAGTTTATTTAATAAATATAACTTATTACTTGCTTATTTATGTCATTTTATTTTTTAATAAAACCAAATATGTCTTAGCCTGATGTGTGAATTGATGCTCTGCTGACTTATGTGTCCAAAACCAGCCTCTGTGGTTTGTTTGTAGTTAAGTATATATATTAAGGGAACCCTGAACCCAAGGAAACATGATCCAATCATAGGTGTGCATGCTGTGTAAGCACAGCCATTTACACTCACTAATCTTGCTAGTCAACTTCAGCTTATAGTTTAACATGTTGCATGAATAGTACCAATTATATTTTAATCAGTAAGTTAAGATTAAACTACCCTTAGCCCAATGATTGCCTTCAATAGAAAAAAAAATCACATTATTATCGTTGTCCTCCAGAATTAAATTCTGACACAGAGGAAACAACAAATACCAAGACACCCTCAATTAACCTAATCGCCTGCCCATCTTTCATTTATCCTCACCGTCCTTCTCTCCTTGCCAATCCTGCATCCCTCGGGAGGTGGCCGCTTCACTCAAAGCCCCTCCCCTCCCCAGTAGTCGTCACGTGCGAGCAGCCGTGCGCAAACACACCGTCCAGTTTGTGAGTGACAGGTAGAGGAAGCCAATCCACGCCAACCGCTTGGTCCTCTGGGCCTATACGCGAAAGGGAGGTAGGATTTCCGCAGCTCTCAGCTGGCTTGCTGACGGACCGAGGGAGGGTTCGATTATGGCTTCTGGCTAAACTGCGCTGCGGTCCTTCGTCTGGTCTGGAAGTCTCTCCTTTCTCGGTAAGGGGGTTTTCCTTCCCGCCTAAAGGCTTTGGCGTCGTGGAAGCGCCTAGGCTTCTTTCCTCTGATTGAGCGTCGGGGTTATTCTTCGAGCCTGTCGTTGGGAGAGGCGGGGAAGCTGTTGTCTTCCCTGGCGTGATTTTGTTGTCTCTCCCCCCCCCTTCCCGCCCACCCCCGTTGATCCCTTTATTCCCTTGTTGGCCTTTGCAAGCGCCGGAGCTTCTGTTGCACGGTTCGGGTTGTGCAAGATTAAAAAGAGTGGCGGGGGGCGGGGGGGTAGGACTGTTTTCTTCAACTCTTTCCACCCACCTTCTCAATAAAGTAACTTTCGTTTGACTTTTGCGGCTTGTTTTTTTTTTCCCCCTCTTCCTTCCTTTCCGTCTTCGTTTTGCGGTTTTTAGGCGGCTGGTCGGGTTGACCGCGTACCCCGGGTGGGTAGGGTTCCCACGGGCTTTGTCGCAACGTCGTTTCCGCAGCGCCTTGGATGGAAGAACCTTGAAAATCGCCCCGCTTGGGGTTAGTGAAGTTCCATCAGGCGCGAGTGGGTGGGTGCACGCCTGTTTTTCTCCCCACAATAAACAGAAGCTGAACCCAGTCGCACACGGGGCGGCTGTTCTGGCGTCTTTGTGATGCAGCGAATGTTTGTGATGACACGAGCTTTTTTTTTCTTTCTTTTTTTTAGGGCCCTCTATTGGGCTTAGCGGGCGCCGGGAGAACTTATGCGTGCTCTTCAATAGCGCATTGAAAGGGGTAGAAAATCATTTACTGCCTCATTGTTTAGTTGTGGCATGGGTTGCCTCCAACTTTGGTCACGTTGGATCGAGAACGAGTGAAAAAAAAATTCAGTACAGTTTGGATGTGGTCATGCAGCTGTTCAGTTATTTGCCTCTAAAGTTTCGTGTAGGTTTACATATAGGGAGTGGCTTTTTGAAGACACAGTCACTAATCTGCGTGTTTACTCCAATCAAGGGATTGAGTCGTTCTAGATATACCGTATAAACTGCTGTACAAAAGTTTGAAGTTAATATCTTGGGAAATCTCAGATTAGTTCTACCCCACCCACCCACGCACCCACCCACCCACCGAGGAAGCTATAATGCAGTTTCCCCTAAGTTGGTGTTTCCAGATTGCTGAGCTCCAGAGGCTAAAGACTTTTTGGACCAAGGGTTAGAAGGGTTGGCAAATATGCTGTCAAATCTTGGGACATACTCCTGGTGTGATTGCTGTGAAAGTCATTTTCTGTCTTCTTGTTTCACTAAAAGTCATAGTTTAGACCCATAGACTATTAATAAATAGCCTGGGATCAAAAAACGAGTGGTTGCCTTCTCTCATGTGCTTTCTTAAAAGAAATTTAAATTGTTTCTATATTGTAGTATATTGCTTATAAATAAAAATTATCCCAGTATAGTTACAAAATTTTGTTTAGCCATTTATCCATTCGTCTAATCCTTAATAGAAAAAATGTATAATACTTAAGAAGAGCCCAGGCGTTATAAAATGTCTTAGCTTGGCTCTGATAGAAAGGCAGATAAGCAGAAAAGAAAGAAGGGTTTTCTTATTAAGTGCTGATGGTCTAAATATAATACTTAATAAGAAAGCCCTTCTTTCCTTTCTGCCTTTTTATCAGGGCCAAGCTTAGAAATCTGATAACGTCTGGGCTCCTCTTAAGTATCACACAATTTCTATTAAGCATTAAAATGAATGGATAAATAGCTAAACAAAATTTCATAACTATACAGGGATAATTTTAATTCAGTTTTTATCACCCTAAAATGAGGTGGATTTTACAACTAAAACTATAGTACTGGAAATGCGGTAACTGTATAATAAATTAAAATAACATGGTACTTTCTGTGCCTAACAACTTCCATTGGAGTTTGAGAGAAGCCTATATCCCTTTAGTCCAGCCCCCTGCTCAAGCAGGAGACCCTACCCAATTTGAGACAAGTGGCTTCCAACCTCTTCTTAAAACCTCAAGTGATGAAGCCCCCACAACTTCTGAAAGCGATTGGTTAGGAAGCTCCTCCTTAATTCCAGGTTGTTTTTTCTCCTTGATTAGTTTCCATCCATTGTTTCTTGTATTGGCTCTGGTGTTTTGGAAAATAAGTTGACCCCCACTCTTCTTTGTGGTAGGCCCTCAAATACTGGAATACCGCTATCTTGCCACTCCTAGTCCTTCTTTTGTCTAGAGTAGCCATGCCCAATTCCTGCAACCATTCTTTGTATGCTTTAGTCTCCAGACCTAGTTGCTTTTTTCTGAACTTTTTCTAAAGTCTGAACATTGTTTTTGTAATGTGACCAAAACTGGATGCAGTATTCCAGGTATGGTCTTACTAAGTTTTTATAAAGTGGTACTAATGCTTCACGTGATTTTGATTTTATCCCTCTGTTTATACAACCAAGGATTAGATTAGCTTTTTTGGCTGTTGCCGCACACTGCTGGCTCACATTTCAGTGATTGTCCACTAACATTCCAAGGTCCCTCTTAGCCAGGTTTCGCCTAATCTATACTTGTACCTTTGATTTTTACTGCCTAAGTGAAGACAATCTGAAGACAAATAGCAGCAGCTTTTATAATCAAATTATATCTCATCTACTCTAGATTAAAAAGGAGTTCTCACATATGTTTTATGATTTGGGGCTACAATTAGATAATAGATAAGACAAGCCCATTGTTCTTATGCAGGCTGTGAAATCTCTAGTTGACCCAGTTTCCTGTACCAATGCATGGAAGTTCTTGTCTCCCCAAAACACATTTCAATTTTTACAATATCAGTAGCAAGATGACTCAAAGATCCAGGGGCTGTTGAGCAGCAGGGCAGTTACCATACTAAGAACAATCACGGCTTCTATCTATCTTCTATCTTCTCTTTCCCATTTTCAAGAAACAGGTAGTTCTCGGTTAACGATAATAATTGGGATTGGATATCTGTCACTAAGCAATGTGGTCATATAAAGATTGACATAATAATCCTGACACTTCCCATTGCTATTGTTAAGTGAGTATCATGCATCATTAAACTACTGATAGCTCAGAAGCAGCCTGGCCATCAGGTTATGTAGTGTAAATGTAGCAGGTCCAGGAGTGGCTGCCGCCATGCAAGGCAGAATTCAAGTATGGTAGAACTTGTACCTGAAGAAGCAGAGGGGAGGAGTTTGGGCAATATGAGAGAGAGGCCCAGATTAAGAGACTATGAAGTCCCAAAATGGATTGTGGGGGGAGACATGTACAGGTTCAGGTAGCCGCACTCTAGAATCTCTCAGAATATACCTAGTACTAAAAGGTTACAGCTTTAGTTTTGCAAGATTCTGTCCACTAGGTGCAAGCAAATAAGGATTGGTTTCAATCAGGATTTTGCTGTGTTGTCCTTGAGGTTGATCCTGAAATCAATCTTACCAAACTCTTATTTCTTAGTAAGGAGCAGGAAAATTTCAAGCATGACTACAGATCCAAAAGTGTGCTAGCAGCATCCTTACTCCAGCACCACCAGCAGGTAGAAATACAGATCAATAATTTACAAGCTGCTGTAGTGCAATTGTGCAACAAGTTATCTTGCGCTCTATGACGACTTACCAGAGAAATACAGAGTAGTTATAGACCAACTAAGAATCTTTCTGGCTCACAATGAAATGTTCAACAATAGTAGAGCAGTTGAATTCCGAACAGATCACATTAGTGTAATCTTTTTATTGAATTTGCTGAAAGAGCGGGGCTGTGAAATGGGCCATTCCAATGATAGAAGGCAATGACCTGATACTGGACAACTACCAGAACTTCCTCACGAGGTTTAGACACAATTTCAGTGATACCATTCAGAGAGTCACAGTCAGTTGGGGAATTTGGAAACTCAAACAGAGGAATAAGAAAATAAGTTTGTTCATCTCAAATTTTTAAATTGTTGGCCTCGGATGGTGGATGGAATGAAGTGGCATTTATCCAATTTAGAATGGGGTTGAGCGATGACACTCCAGATGAATTGGTATGGCAGGGTTGGGGGTTTTTTTTTTGCCTCATTAGATGATCCAGGATTGTTTGATTAATTGATACTCGTTTGGAAAAATTGAAGCAGAGCAAGGACACCAGAGGCAGAGGTGCCTGCAAGTTGGTAATCATGATTTCTAACAGTCGCATCTCCAGACACGGACAGGGAAGCCAGTGCAAATTGGAACTGTCAATAAGTCAGTCTCAGAGGAGGAGATGGGGAAAGGCAAAGAGATCTGTACATCTGTTTTTACTGTGGAGTTTCAGGGCATATAGCCAAGACCTATATAGTGAGAAAACCTACAGCGGGAACTAGAGCATCTGAACAACCTGCCAGCAAGTACCTACTGTCATCCACAGGTGCTAACCAGGGGAACGCCACTAGCCTCCATCATGAGAGTTCACAGGAAGGAACCAGCCAGCAAATAAAGAGAGCTCAAGACGAAGGTGGGGTAAGAATATTTTTTTCTTACTCCTGTCACTATAACATTAGAACTGGGTTGTATGGTAGTAATAGAAGCTTTCACATCACAAACTTTATAGATACAGAGGTAGTGCATAAATCACAGTAAAATTACCAAACTTGTAGAAGAAGAGACTATAGATGGCCAGACTTTGAAGGAGGTTCTTGTTTTGCAGTTCATTACTCTAGTACCGCTGCAAATTGAATTCTTGCCCTTTTATGTAACTGCTTCCTTGCAAGTACCTATGGTGTTAGACTCTTCCTGATTGTGGCTCTATAAACCATGAGTGAGTTGGCAACTTGGACAATCTGCTTTTCCTCTCCACTTCCATGCTCTCCTTGGTGTTTATAGTGAGTGTCCAGCCAGAGTATGTGGAATACCTACTAAGCATGCTGATTTTGCAGATGTCTTTGGAGAGCAGGAGGAGGCCACCGCACTTCTACCTCATAGGGGTTGTGATTGCACAAATTGACCTGAAACTTGGAGCAAAAAATCCAGGCAAAAGACATTATCCCATGTATGCCAAAGTATTTTAAAGGAATATCTTGATGGTCTGCTAAGTCTCTTTTTAAGATTTCCCCCAGTCTTTTTCATTGAAAAAAAATATATGAAAAAGTGCACACCATTCATGATTGCAAGGATCGTAGCTAGGACATGTTCTGGGATCATTATCCACTTCCTGTAATATCAGACCTGTTAGACCAGCTGCAGAATGTCTGCATCTTTAGACCTGAGGAATGTTTACAATCTCAATCAGGTAAAAGAGGGACCTAAGTATCTGACTGCCTTCAATATACGGTTTGAAAGTTTGAAGATATTGTGTTGTTATTTGGACTAGCAAATTATGGAACAGTATTTTTCAGATTAATGAATCATGTTTGGAGTACTTCCTTTTAAAAAAAGGAAGTCCATATTTAAATATCAAGAGAAAAGCTTTGGTCTCTAGCGTTGTCTTAATTTTCAGCAGGCCCGCAGAACGTTTGTAGTTTAGTGTTTAGTTCTGTGACAGTCTCCCTAGATAAGAAAAGGCTCAAGAGATTCTCGCCAACTTGCTTTTGGGTAAGTGCATCTTTTGTGACTAATCAAGAAATCTATTTTGTAAGGGCACTTATAACCATTTTGTAAGGGCACCCAAATTAACTTTTCAGAATTTTTGATCTGCCTATGGGACAAAGGTTATGGAATCTAGGCTGTAATTAGATAAACCTGTCAGGTTTCCCAATATGAGATAGGCAGTAAAATAAGATGTTACTTTATAGCTTAGATCAACATCTTGGCTTGGCTTGGGAAAAAAACACAAGATTAAGTGGTAGCTGGCAGATTTTTGATTGTTAAACTTGATTTACAAGGATTGATGGTGAAGGTGGTATTTGGGTAGATCTGGTTAGGACTCTGCTTTATTATTATAGGGTATAATAACAGGTTTTTGAAAGACTCCCAGAATATCCCTCTGTCTCCCTTCACACAAAACAGAATAAAACTGAGTTTGCCTTGAGTTTGTTTCATGCCTCATCTCTCCCAGGATAGAGTTGATATTTACTGAATAGTTCTTGGATTTGTTTTTCAGGGTTATTGCTGAACACTTATGGGTGTGATGAGTGAATGGGAAGGGGGTTATATGGCTTGTGGATCAAATGCTTTGCAGAAGCATTCTTGGTGTTTGAATTGGTCCATCGCTTTAGTGGAATGTGGTTTTTAGTGGATGATGGAATCCTTTGACTTAGAAAGGAGGGATAAAAATCGGGAATGATTAGAGGTAAATGTGCAAGCAGTGCTATCGTGATGGCAAGTATGGAGATTTATGACAGGAAATGTATGTTGTCAAAGAACCTTCCTTACCCTTCCAGCCTCTGCACTTGGTCCCAAGGTCTGGTCATTGGAGTAGAGTTTCAGATGCTGCAACCAAATGCAAAGTCAATCTGATAAGACTGTGAAAGAGCTGACCTAGTGTGTATTATCAACCTTTCCTTCTATAGCAGCAAGAGATATTGGAGCATCGCTAGAGGAAATTGAAAAGAAAATCCAATTGGGCAAAGATAAGAACATTTATTAGGGATTACCGTGTGTTAAAACAACTTGTTGCTCCACTTTTATTGCTGCCCAAATAGCCAGCCAATGCCTTGTATTGGGTGCCTGGGCCCCTCTTGCATAAGGAGGAAAGAAACAGTATTTGTATGCACTTGTGGTTGACGTTTTTAGCAAGATCAGGATGAGAATGGTGTCTAGTTATTCTTGATCTTTCGGCAGCTTTTAATACTGTTGATCAAAAGATACTGTTGATACTGGTATCTTTCTAATTGGCTTAGGAGGTTTGGGGTGGGTGGCACCTTCTCTTCAGCAGGTGCCTTCCTTTGAGGCGGGTTCCAATTGGTGTTGGGATGGGGAAGAGATTGGGCTATGAGCCTTCCCCCCCACTCCTATTTAATATCCACATGAAGCTAGGAGACAATCTGTTGGCAATGGATTAAGTGTTATCATTATTTGTTCATTTATACTTGTATTCTGGCTATTATTTTTACAAATAACTCAAGGCAGAGAACATATCCAGCACTACTACTCCTATTTTCCCCACAATGATAGTATGCTGATGAGACTCAGTTAAATAACTGTACTCTAGGTCATACAGTGCCTGGCAGCTGACTGGATGAGACGGAACAGGTTTGGACTCAAACTATTGTAGAGAATAAGGAAGATGACCTTCACAAAAATAGGGTTCAGTGATCTCCCCCACTCAGTCACCCACCCCCATTTCTGGAGGGTGTCTTTTGTTAACTCCAGGTGTAAGAGCATTCTCCTAAACTGAAATGGCCAGGGGCAAGAAGGCCTTTGGTTAAATCCATGATGTGCATCAGTTGTGGCTATTCTTCATTTGAGAGATTTTGCTTGTGGTCACTCATACTTTAATCATTTTACACAATTCCCAGTCAAATGGTTGCAGTGAACACTACACGGGGTACCATTTTTTAAAGCATTTGGAAGGTGCAGCTTATCCAGAATATAGCAGTGTGGCCCGTTTTGGGTGTATCATATTATGTGCACGTAAGATCACTGCTATGTGGGCTTTTCTGACTTTCAATAGGTTTTTAGATACAATTCAGCATGCTAGTTACCACTTTTAAAGCATAGGGCCAGGATACTTGGTAGTCTGCCTCTCTCTCCCTGTTCTACCTGATTTGAAAAGATGGCCATGTGCCAGATCCCTTCTGTGAAATGTTATGAGGCCTTTTCTGTGCAGTGCCTGCCTTGTGGAACAGCACTCATTCCCACTGCTAAGGCCTCAGCCCTATTGGCCTTTCAGATGTCCTTAAAAAAGGAATCATGATTATAGTGGAATCCAGTGTATGTGTTTTGCTCTGTCATGATTGAAGAATCGGTTATTTTATCAGAAGTCTTTTATTGTTATTGTTGCTGTTTTTAATATGCTTGTTTTTATTACTTGTTAGCCACTTAGAATTATTTAATTAAGATTGGTAGCCACGAACATTTGTAAAATAAATGCATCTTGGCTAGGTTAGAATGCTTATTCCAGACAAAACCATATGTAACACATGATTGCCTGCTCACTGCCAGTGCAAAGATATATTTTTAGGGTTTTAAACGTAGGCTTCTTCTCCTTACCTTCATGAACTGACTGGTCCTTGGTGTTACTACTTGATGGTCTGTGCAGTTCCCCCATGCTTGCGTAATGACCATCCAGCCTGGAAACTTGCTTCCCACCTTCTCAACCTTAGCCTTTACAAAACATTTGATAACATTTTCCTTATAATTCAGGAATAGTAACATGCAGGTAGTCCCTGTTTAATGGCCACCACTGTTACCTGCAGTTCTGTCATTAAGCAAAGCAATTGCTAATTGACACTATGACTGTGCTTTCTGATCTTGCTTCAACTTTTCTTCTCCTTTCTGTGGCTACGAGAGTCTAGAGAGAGTGGGGATGACTCCTGTCCTCATTGATTGGACTGAGTCTGCTTAGTTGAATTTAGCTCCACCCTGCACTGTTGGCCACATCCCAGCTTTCAACTCAGTCCCAGCCAGGATGGACCTATTCAGGAAAGCTCCAATTTCAGTTTACTGAAGTAGACTTATTTTGTTTTAAAAAAGGATCAAAAGCAGCGATTAAAAGAAAGAAAAGAGTGATACAGGCCATAGATCCCCAGGAACAGCCCAGCGGCTTAGCAAAAAGGGTTTCCAGCACCTCCAGCCAAGCGAGGTGGAGAGCTAAGGGCAGCGGTGGGTGGGGATATGTTTAGGGATTGTCATGTGTGTGTGCGTGTTGGGTCTGGTCTCTGGGCATTAAAATCACCCTGTGCTTCTTAGAATACCCCTTGTCAATAACTTCTTAGACTGTGTGCTATTTATTTAACAACCGGATATTTAGCTTGCTTTTATAACTTGTGGCTATAATTAGATCACCTCTTAAAGCATTTCTTATACTTCAGTGATGACATGTTTCAATTAGATCAGAGTGTGAATGCTTTTACAATGACATCAATTAACAATGGTTGAGGTTGCCAGAAGAGCAAGAGCCAGAACTTTATATCTCCTTCGACAACCAAAGGGGTAAAATGGGAAAAGAAAAAGGGAAAGTGAATGCTTTTTTCATATCTCGATTCTCTTTTTTGTTCTTTTCAGGAATTTCATTAAGATGCTACTATCAGTAGGAATGTTAATGTTGTCTGCCACTCAGATTTATACTATTCTCACAGTTCAGTTGTTTGCTTTTTTAAACCTATTGCCAGTAGAAGCCGATATCTTAGCGGTAAGTTTTATAATTACTTTATAGCATAAAATATTCCTCAAAAATGGTACTCAACCTTTTAAACCTAGGTTAGTTGCATGTTAGATACAGACTCAAGTATTTCACCAGATCCTATGGCTAAATTTTTCATAGCACATATCCTAACTTACATTTCCCACTGGTCTGTACTATCTCAACTATCTATAACACCCACTACCTCATTATCTCATCTTGCTTCCCATTAAGCAATAATTGTTATTTTGCTATTATTTCCCTTGTCTTTCCCGCCTTCTTGCATTTCCTTTTATGAACTATAAAAAAATAAAACTATGTGCCCGTCTCTTGAATCTGATATGACTTCACTCATTTGCAGAATGGCTCTATCCCATTTAGCATTTAACCCTAATGCGTTATTCAAAGGTAATTATGGCCTCAGTTCAATTTTGCTTTTCCAAAGCCTTGTTCCATAGATGCACAAACTTGTCAGTGGCCAAATATAGCTTTAGAAAAATAAGTTGAGGGCCTCTTTGCTACTAGGGCAAAGTAGAAACTGTGCTTGCTTACAGCAGGTGAATGTATCCACCGAAAAGCATATTTTTGTTCAGCTCCTATCCTTTTTTTTTCCATAAATTGCCTGCCATCTTCTCCCAACTTAAGTCTTAAAAGTCTCAAATTGTAACTTATGTCCAACATATGATCTATGAGTAATGACTTGGGGAGCCACACAGGGAGCAATCTGTGGGTCAAAGTGTATGCCCATATTTTACCAAGCAACCTCTGCAGAAGTCTCTTTCTGCCAAAAAGAATCTCTATTGCTCCTTTCTGTGCTTTATTTTTTCAATGACTGCTAAGTAAGCCAATTCTTAGTACAGAATATTTCTATTTAATAAAATGTTTTCAGCATTTCTCAACAAAAATTAGTGCTTAGATTTCTCCACATTTCATTTATTCTCCACTGATAAGTTTTCAGTTCTGTAAATGTACTGTAAGTAATATTAATTTTAACTTGCTCTAGTTTATGTTTAAGTTAGTTTCACATTGAAAAAGTCATATATAAGATTTAAATAAGTTTTATATGATTGTTACTTCCTTTTTTTGGTGCAGCAAACAGAATAGAAGCAAAAAGCTGACTGAATTTCTAAATGTTGAGTTTTTCTCTTTCTGGTACTTTCTGACTCTGACTTTCCATAAAAGGAAATTAGTTTACAGTCTCTACAGTTATTTATGGATTTGGTTTAAATATCAGTTTTAATAGATGAAAGCAAAACGAATCTTATATTTGGGCTATTTTAAATTTTCAAAATTAGAAGTGTCTTGATCTGTACTTTGTAACAATCCTTTTGCAAATATTGCTGTTTAACTTAAGAGTATGTTATTTGAATTCTACTGTACAATTATGTAATAATATGTTATATGGTTAATTTTGCAGTTTAATATATGATATATGTTTCTTGTGTATTATAGTTTAATTTTGAAAATGCAACACAGACATTTGATGACTTACCAGCAAGATTTGGTTATAGGTTGCCTACTGAAGGTTTGAAGGTAAGAAGGAATAATTTGAAACAGATTATTAAATGGTAATTTACCTGATGGTAATTTATGAATATACAAATAATTATCTGCTGTTGAAAGAGAAATTTGGGGATTCTTGTTTAAACAAACATTATGTTCTTGCCATTTGAAATACTAATTGAGCGCTTTGAGGTAACCTAATCCATCTGTAATTGAGTACCTCATCTTTTAATCTTAAATATTCTGTTAGATCTCTGTATTAATGAACATCTTCAGCATATTTGTGTTAAATTTTGATTCTCTCACTGGATTGTTACTTTGAGCGCAGATCATCATAGAAAAATGGAAAATAATAAGCTGCTGTATATTTTATAATTTTCTCTAGTGTCCTGTAATCTTTATCACCTTGCCTTTGTGAGCAAGCAATCTTAACTGTTCCAGCTAGAGAAGAGACCTTGGTAACATGGCACCTGTTACAGTCTTTTACATAAGTACTTTTCAGATCAGGGACTGAATGTAGGTCTATTGATTAGGAATTCTCAGCTCCTGTGCAGTGTCTTCAGGGCTGTAATGAGCATTAGGTCAGTATATGTTCTGGTGATATTCCTATCAAATATCATATTCTCAACTAGCAACCAATTATGCATCTAACTTTCTGTTGCAATCATTTTTCTCTTGGTTTGAGTGGAACAGTTATTTTACAGTCTGCACTACTAACTTACTTTGATAACAGTTGCAATGGCAGTATTTCTTAGAATAAACAGCTTGAGAATTCTGTCATCTAAATTGCCAATTTACAGTCAAAACATGATGCTTGTTTTCAGAAACATTTGGTTCTATATAGCCTTAATATGCAATAATAGCTAATGCCAAGATCAAAAAGAATTGTTGTACATAAATTTCTAGAGTGATGTATTCTGAGAATACTTTGGTTTTGCTATTGACTGAGATCTTTGTCACTTGTTTTCAAACGTAATTGCAAGAAAATTGGCAAATTAGCACCTTAAGGTAAATATAATGTATTACTTGTCAGGTTGTATTTCTGCTAATGCTGTAAAATGCATCAGAAAATTCGTTAGCTTGTACCAAGAGTTCTTGAATTATTGTCTACTGGTCTAATTGTTTTTAAAATAAAGTAATATATAGGCTGTCTCTTGGAACATGAGAAAATGTTATCTTGGTTCATGGAGAGAAAATCTGTATGGTCAGTAGGAATCAAAAACCATTTGATGGCACATAATCAATCAAGGGAACATTGCCTTGTATCAATGAATGGACTTGTGCACATCTCAGTGACATTCAGCTATACCATTAGTGTTGTATACTTACAAAAGGGTATCCATGTTAGTCCAGTCACTGAAAACAGAGCAAATAGAATACAATCCATTTGAAAAACCCACTCCAGAATTCTACCCAGAGAACCACATAGATTTTTCAAAGCGAGGACAATGTCATTATGGTACTGGAAGATGAGTCCCAGGGGTTAAGAAAGTATAGAATGAACATTCAATGAGAAAGTATTCCACTGCAAAGAACAAAGGGCAAATAGGAATAGCTTTTATGTTGGAGATGTACCTGGATTCAAATTAAATGAACATTCAGCTGCTGGTGTCAAAACCATGAATTAAGGCGAATGTCAGACAAAAGTATCAGGATTCACCATGTTGGCATTCTACTATTAGCAAAAACATCCTCAAATGATATTACATTAATTATAGAAGAATGGAATGCTGAAATTGGAATCAAATAGCATCTGCACTAACAGGAAAAACAGTGTTTTGCCAAATTTTAGCAGTTTACAATAGCAAAATATGTTACAAATCAAGATGAATGAATACATTTGTTACATGATGGACAATACTGGAATCAACTTAGGTGTGTAGTGTGCAAAGCAAGGATGGAGGAGCTGTCTTCAGATATCAAAAATGAGGTCTGGGGCTGGTTGTGGTTCAGATCATGAAATAATTATTAGAAAATTATAAACAAAACTAAAAAATACTGGCCAACAAGATAGGGTAATCATATCAGTAAGTAGTCTGCATGATAATGCAGTGAAGATAAAAAAATATTTAGACTTGATAAATAGACTGCTTGAAGAACTATGTTTTGAAATGAATGACATCATTCAAGATGAAATAAACAAAAATACATTGAATGAACAACAAAACAAAAAGAAGATGAAATGTCTGTTTGCTAGTATAGTGGCAAAAAGGTAGAAGGTGATAGTGAAAATTTGCCAAACTAAACACAGAGAGGAGCAAGAGGTAGGGAAATATATTTAAATAAGCAGTGCAAATAAATTGAGGATAATTATTCTGGAAGTGCAATTTATTTAAGAGGTTTACATAAATCAGTGCAAATTTCGTGTACAGAAGAAACAAAGGCAAAGAAGACAAAAATCTATTGAAGAAAAAAGATAAAGAACATGATAAAAATATATGGAAAAATTTGTATGAGAGCATCCCCATTGATGAGATATTCCCCCCCCCCCCCGTGTGTGTGTGTGTGTGTATGGGTGTGTAGTTTGATTTCTGAACTAGAGCCAGAGATCTGGAAAATAAAGTGAAATGGACTACAGGAAATATTGCTAACAATGAGTTGTGAGATTTAATGAAATATCAGTCAACTATTTAAAGCTTATTTTCTTACTTTATTAAATTTATATGCCACCTATCTTCTGGCTGAAGGCAACTTTAAGATGATATGGTTGAAATGCTAAGAGTTTTTTGCTTGCAGACTGATAGAAAGAAAAAAGCTTTATTCCAATATTAAAAAGAACAGTATTAAAGAATGTTCAAAGCACAAATTGCATTTATCTCATATGGCAGTAAGAAAATGCTCAATTTTTTCCCTATCCAGGCTATAGCATGCACAGAAAGAGCCACAAGATGTTTAAGTTGGATTCAGAAGAGGCAGAAGCATCTGATATTATATTGCAAACTTCTGATGAATAATGGAAAAGACAAGGGACTTTCAAGCATACATTATTATAATATTTTGCTTTATTAATTATATAACTGCAAACCACAACAAAAAATCCTTAAAAATACTGGATTACCTCATCTACCTGTTGAATAATTTATGCAATCACCAGGAAATAACTGTTAGAAGGAATATGGAGCAACTACATGGTTCAAGATTGTATCCTGTGGTTTCTCAAAGAAATAATGTTTATGCAGAGTGCCTAAGAAAAAAAACCAGAAACTGGAATTAAGGTTGCTGGGAGAAACATCAACAACCTCAGATATGCTAATGATGCCATTTTGATGACTAAAAGGAAAGTGGAAGTGACTACAATAAGTTACTCTTATTGAAAGTAAAAGAGTACAAAAGCCAGTCTGCTGGTCAATATTTCTGATTCTGTCAACAAGCAATGAAGCCCAATGTGAACAGATAATAAGGAAACTAGGCTCAAAGATGACCATGGTATTCATAAAATAAAGTGACATCTGCTGTGGCAAATCTAGACAAAATGCTAAAGTGCAAAAATATCACACCAACAGCAAAATTACATTTTGTCAAGACAATGTTTTTTTTTAGATGAAACATGTACTTTGAAAGCTTGTTTATCAGAAAGGTTGAACAATGAAAAAGTGATGCCTTTGAATTGTGGTAATGGGAAAACAGAATACTTTGGACTGTAAGAACAAATAATTCAATACTCCATAAAACTCACAGGAAGATGAAGGTAAAGGTTAAATATGTTGGACCTGTACCATGAAGACAGGAGTAACTGGAGAAGACCCAATGCTTGTTGAATCAGAAACAATTAGTGAAAAGGCTGACAGAAAACAAGATGGGAAAATACACTGTTATTGAGCTTACAAGAAATGAAAGGAGAACTTATTGATGGACAGTCCTGGTAAATTGATGTCCATTGTGTCACAGAAGTAACTAAATAACTAGCAATTACATATTGGGGGTATAATTAAATACATCTGAAAGACAGGCACATTTGAACTGTATTATCTGACAGTTGAATCCTGTGAACAATTAGGCAATAGAAAGTTAAAGTTCATTTAATGACTGGCATAAAGGGTGATGAAATTAGGAGAGACTCACTTAATGACTGCATCACTTAGTGATGGAAGTTCCAGTTCCAGTTGTCATAAGTTGAGGACTACTTGTGAAGGGGCCACTCTATTTAAGCTTTGATTCAAAAAGTCTATATAATAGTTGTATTGTATACTATTTCCTTCTCTGGTGATTACACCCAACAGGGCCAAAGATCCTGAGAGGGCCTATGTTTTCCCTTCTCAAGATATAAAATGAAGATTAAATAAAATTCTTATTCTGCTCCTGATGAAAGTACCTAAAATGCATTAACCAAAAGGTACTTAAAATACTATAAAATTGGCAGGCTGCAACAAAAGCTTTTTAATATATGCTTAAAACTTAAACTTTTATACCTATCTGTGTATTTAAGTACATTCTTAAGTGGTTTGCTGGATCAATGCCCACGTAAAGTAAGAGTTGGAAGCATAGCTCAGTTACACTTGAAAGTTATTGTTATAAGTTATATTGTACCTTGATATTTGATTAATTTGTATTGGACTTTAGGATATTAGGATTCTGATTTTGTCCTTACCTGCCAAAGGATGCTGATAACAGTAATGTCATCTTTGCCCCATTAAGAATTTTGACTGACTTAGATGAAACTTCCATCATTTTTTTTATTCCAAATAGAAGAATTTAAAACAGGCAATCATAAGTGAACTGAACTAATTGCCATGTTTTGTATTAGAAGTTTTATAATTTGGATTTTGAAATGTTGATGTGGTTTTGCAAAACAGATAGGATGAGTTCTCTTCTATTGCTCTGCATGAAGGAATCTTTAGAAGAGCATCTCTTCCCAGCAACTGGTACTAAAGATTAAATAATGTTAGTGCTTATTTGGGGAATCACCCAGTTGGTAAGTGTTGCAAAGGCAGTTTCCTGGCCATGACAGTTTAGATTATAAACATTCTGCAATTGATAGCACAATGAAGGCCCCTATACAGTACAAGAATACTGGAGTGTTCTCCTTCTAGCACAATATTTTTTCTTTCTGTACAGAGAGTGCACAACAAATTTGTCAGATGGCTTTCTCTGTTTCTACTGCTCTCTTTCCGAACTGGGTAATACTAAAAGAAATTATATCTCAAGAGCTGACATTCCATGATAGAGCTACTACCTTTTTAACAACTATTGACAGTTAACTATCTAAAACTATCCACTAGAGGGTATCATAGCAACTTCTGTGAAATAAAACCAATACAGATATGTTGAATGAGATGTTACTTTTATGTTACCTTCTTAGACTGTATATATTTGACTGATGTATTTTAGATTTAGTATAACATGTTAATTGTTACAATTATCAATATACTGATGACATTCAGTTATACATCACAGGCCAGGCCAGGCTAGGATAGAGAGTATTTGAAGGTGTAGAATTAGTACTCAGAACTAGAAGGGAATAGATGGGATAAAACAAGCTCAGATGAAATCCTAGCAAGGTGGAAGTACCGTACTTTTAGGAACTTCTAGCTCTGATTCAATTATAGTGATAGGTCGCTCTGCGCCAAGCTTCCTCATTTGCTCAAAAGTAACTAAGCCCTCCTTGACTTGTGGCTCTTGCCCTTCCTGGATCATGAAGTCCTGATGGAAATCAACCATACTCCCATTGTATATTTCCAGTTCTGCAATACACTCTAAATTAGGGTACTATTGAAGGAAATTGAGAAATTGCAATTGATAGAGACTACAGCAGTCAGGCATTTACAGAGTCATACTTACTCTTTGCTGCACTGATTATTTATAAAGTCCCAAGCTCAATCTAAATTGTTCCAAAATTGTTGTATGGCGCAGCACTCGGTAATTGGAGGGGCTGGCTGGTTCAGAATGATTTTTCCTGGCCTGTGATTTGTTACCAGGTGAGTTATTGTGCAAGTTATTAGCCTGATTGTGGGAGGAGGCTTGGTCGCAATCTTTCTTCAGGCTTTGGAATACCTTCCTTGCAAAGAAATGTCATTATCTTTCTGCAGTCATCAAAATTACTTCATTTGAAATGGATATGGGATCAGCACTGCTATTTTATAGTTCCTGTTAATAATATTACATCTTTATTTATACTGCATAACCCACCAGAACTGTAAAAAAAAATGTGTACATTTTCCCATGTTATGTCAAAATGCTAATCATATCTTTTGAAAATGGCTTTCAGGGGTTCCTAATAAATTCAAAACCTGAGAATGCCTGTGAGCCTATAATCCCTCCACCTCTGAAGGATAACTCATCCCGTGAATTCATTGTATTAATCAGAAGACTTGATTGTAATTTTGATATAAAGGTAAGTAACCTTTCACATCTTCAATTCAGTCAAGTATGGAGTTTCTGAAGCTTCAAAATTATGTTTAAATACACTACTTGAAAAGAGTCACACTGTCGAATCCATATGCATAAATCAAATTTGGGCAAGTTGCCCCCCCCCCGTCCGCCCCCCCCTTTTTTTTTCTTGCTGAAGATTGTTGGAACTGTGTCTCAGTATTTTGAGATGGGTAACACCTTGAAAACTAGTAGACAGTGCAATTTTAAATAAACAGAAACCTACTCTTTTTAAAAAGCAGAAAACAATTCTATCTTTTTTGTGTTTCTTTCCAGACATAATAGCATTCATATTGCCAGAAAATATTAAATGTCTTCCCTTTCCCCCAAAAAACCCTTGCCTACTTTTAATTGAATGGTTTGGGGGCTATCAATTTCTCTTGTTTGTGGCAATTATATGTTAAACATTGTGGGAGGAAACTCTTTTTCTGGAGGTTTTCTTCTGCAATCACTTAATATGCAATATTTGAATGTCTTTAATGCAGGGCTTGCAACTTCTTTTCTTGTGGGTACCAGCAACATGAACTGTATACATCCTTTACATTTTGAGAAGTGTAAGAGTTGGCACTAGACTTTGTTCCAGAATGCAACTGCTTCATTATTTTGGTCTTCTTGAGATGGAGTTTAAACTACAGTAAAATGCAGCTGCCTAGAAATAAGATCACTTGAGGACTTCATGAATTGTACATTAAAATATGTAATTTAGATAGAATTTAAAACAGCTGGTTCATGCTGAACACGCACATGGCTTTCTGGGATTAATGAAGAGAGAGGGTGAAGGTGATATATTCTTAAAATTAACACATTTGCCAGTTCTAGGCTTATTTTCCCCTCCCCAACTTTACTTTCCTGTTTCAAGTAAAAATAATCCAGGATCTGAAATTATGTTTAATTCCAATTTTTCTAACCTCTAAGTATATCACAATTGCTAACACCTAGAATTGCAGTTTGGACAAAATCTACTGCTGTGGTTTAAAAACTAAAGCAAGTGTAAAAAGAAAAATGACAAGTGTTATAAAACTTAGGTGCACAGATAGTGTGTTCATATAATTGATGGCGCCTTCCATGTGCCATTCACATATTTCAGAGCAGTGCTAATAAAATAGCAAGCTGCCAGATGACCAGTAATGTTACTAGAAAAGTGGAATGCAAAATGAGTATGTACTCCCACCACAGTTAATAGGATGCTATACTGAACAAAACGGTTCTATGTGCATAATTAAAAGTGCGGTTGTTTGTCTTGTTTTTATTTTCTCTCAGGAATTCTAAACAGCCTGGAGGTGGGATGGGGAGAGCTGAACTCCACAAATGCAAAAGAGAGTATTTGTAGAAGTTTGCTCTTCTCCAATAGCTGCTATTTACGCATATGTTAAATTGCACTAAATTGCATTCAGAATTGTAACTTCATCTGACTGCTAGAGGAGAATAATATTTAGAAACTTAGAAACTTTTCTTAGAAACTTTTAACATTTAAGAAAAAAATAGCAATCGAGGAAAAATTCTATACTTGCCCAATGCCCATACTATTTTACCTGAAAGGTTCTTTTGTTTCCTTACTATCTCAAGCAGTATAGTCAAAATACTACTACTGAATGTATATGTTGGTCTTAATACAGTGTATGAAAACCATACTTTTCTCCAATAAATATATATTTGTGTTTGTAATACTAAACTTTTGCTTAGGAGAAAGTGCATGAATTGCAGTGAATTGTCATGGCCAGAATAATTTTTGATATAGCTTAGTTTTATTTTCTAGAGCAGTTGGCTTGCTGCATAGAAATCAGATAGTGTAGTTTGAAATAAATCCTGATCACTTCCCAAGCTGCAAACTTTGGTAGTTTCATTCACTATCACTATTCATTATCTGTTTTAAATTGCAATTCCTATGTGCAAGCTGTTATTATATTGAAAACTGAAATTAATGCTGCTAAAGTATTTCTTTTGATTGACAACAGTGGAATAAGGAACAAGCCTTATGGATTCTAGGAAGTGTAGAACTTCTAAACTGTGATTTAGCCCAATGTGGAAGGCAGCTTTGTAGATTATATTCAGGACTCTGTGGATCTAACAAAATGTTTACTGAGGAAGAGGAACTAAACAGCATAGTCAAATGTTAAATAATCTGTTTTATCTATTTATGAAACTATATATAATGAACAACATATTATACAGTTTATGAAAATTTGCAAATGGCAATTTGTAGTTGAAATCTTCAATACATCTGCGTTAAACTTGTGAGCTATAGTAATTATCCAAAACAGACATGTTTACTAGGGAATAAAGCTTATTAAACTGCTTGGTAATATTTACTTCAAAGTAAATATGCTTGGGAATGTTTTGCACATAGTCATTGCCTGTTGAATGGCTTTTCTTAGTTTTAAGATTTAGGAGCAAGGTCTTCCCTCCTTGCTTCTGTAACACTGAACAAATATATAAATAAATATATTGGCCAGCTCACATTACCTTTTGAAACTAAAAGATTGACCTTTGGGCTTTTTGCAGACTGCTGATGACAAACTTGAGACTTGAGCAAGCACAATTCCTTCTATAATAATTGTTTTTTCTGCATTACAAGTAATACTCCCTTACATCTAGTATTAAAAGAAATGACATGGATATGCGGGAGAGGTCAAGAAAGTATTGCCTAGGAACATACACTAAATCCTGTGTAAGATAATTTAGAATAGCTCAGATTTACTTCTAGATAAAATTGTGTAAAATTGTAAACAAATGATTGGTTATCTTTATAGACTTTAGCTAACTTGATCTTTTCCCTCTCAAATGTACTAATTTTGAAAGCAAATGGTTAGGTTGTTTGAAACATTTCTGGAACAAGTCATTAACTAAATAACTCCTGTAGTATTTTCCTGGTTTAAAACTGACTCTTTGTACCTGTTTAAGAACAGCAAACAGTCATATGAACACTAAGCTAATTTCTGTAACTTTACAGACTTATTTAAATGGCTAATATCTTATACAAACTTGTCTGAGTTTCTGTCCCATTTAGGAGAGACCAGACCTAGTAAGATATATTGTAAGTTTCGGTTGTCCTTTAAAGCAGCTTATTAACCCTTTAAGATAATGCTTGTGGAGAAATCTGCATAAATTTTAAATAGCATTGGATGTGTGGAATTTACTATAGAAATATTTGCTTTCTTTCAATATTGAGCATGATCTAGTGAACACAGGATGGGATTGTGAAACCAATCAAGTTTAATTCTCAGGATCCTATTACATTCTGGATTAAATTGTAAAATAAAAAAACTGATGTTGGAAACAACTAATTTGTCTTTTGTAGAACACATTGAAGTTGTTTGGGGCAAAAAGAGGTTTCAGAGGTGTTCCTACATATAAATATAGGTAAATGGGAGAAAGCATTGTGCTCAGTGGTACTACGTTTATCGAAGTTCCAGTATCAAGAGTCATTGTTAGCAGGGTGTCAAAAGGCAAGATATATATAACCCACTTTCTTTTGCACAGTTTGCATAGTATGAGAACAGTACACAAATAAAACAAGTTAATTCAAGACGACAGTACTTTTACGCAGCATATATGGGTGGCAGGAATAAATAATGTCATATCTCTAACGAGTACTTATTCCAAGTGTGTTTGGCATACAGGTTTTGAATGCACAGACAGCTGGGTTTAAGGCAGCAATTGTTCACAATGTTGATTCTGATGACCTCATTAGCATGGGATCTCAAGACAGTAAGTACAGGTATTAATTCTCTCCTGTTTGAAATCTATCCTGTTTCTCAGTGGTGATGGCATATCATCTTTTGGTTCCCACTAAGAATTCCAACAAAATATTTTTTTAAAAAAAATATGAACTTCATGGACAGATCATTACAGTCAAATGAGAGGAACACAAAATCAGATGTAACATGCCAAGTACACAAAGATGCTCTTCTCTCTTTTAGCCTGTGAATACAGATAGTTTACTTAACAGTAATTAAGACTGGGGTTGGGACTGGGATTTCCTTCACTGAGCAATGTGGTCATAATGTACAATGCCATGTGCTTGCGCTGATACAGCAGTTCCAGCAGTCCCCAGTTACTATTGGTAATTGAATCTCTCTGAGTCACATGAGTCTGCAACTTTCAGTTTCATGATGGTTCCTCCATTAATTTTGTTTGTGGGAAGCTGGCAGGGAACGTAGCAAATCATAATTGATAATGGAATGCTGTACAGTCAGAAATCCAGGCTGGTTGCCAAAATCTGAGATCACAGTAATATGACCATGGAGTTGCTATGATGGCCAGAACTTCAAGCACTGGTTGTGAGTACCACTGATTCAGCACTGTTGTAAATTTGAATGGTTGCTGAATGAGTGCTTGTTTTTTTTTTATAAGCAAATTTTATTAATTTTACAAAACAATATACAAACAAACAAAACATAAAATATAATGACGTAAGAAATCTTTTTCTGAGAAAGCCAATACAACATCTTGTTTAAAGACAGAATTATTCCAAATTATCACATTTCCATATAAACACAATTTAGTATATATATTTACCTTATCTGTTCAACTTCATATCTTATCCCAACTTCTCTTTATTATTCCCTTTCCTTCTATTTATTCGAATTGTATCTCTTCAACTTTAGATTATATACATTTTTTTATATCCATCTGTCTTATACAATTTCATTATTCTCTTCCAATACACAAATAGACAAAACATAAAACATAGAAACATAAAACATCTTTTCTGAAAGTTGCTTGATCCCGGGTTAAAACTCATCATACAGACACAACTTCAAAAATCATGTTCCTTTTATATACCATTCCATATCTTATTACCATTTTCCATTTTCTATATAGCTTTTTCCTTCTTTTAACACTCTTAGTTTTATTCTACTCATCTCAGTTCAAATCATAATACTTGTCATTCTTTGTCTGTTCTCAACTATCCATTCATCTTTTCTCTTTAAACAAAACTTTTCCTGTACACTGATTGGAGTATGACGCCTTTAACTCTTTCCCCTAACCTAATAATACTTAATATCACACATAACTTGTATTGGGGTTCTGTTTAGCACATCTTAAAATTACACAATGTATTATATAGAAAGAAAAAGGAAAAAAAAGAACAGCAACAACAAAAGAACAAATTTATAGAAATATAATGTGGCTAGTACCCCTGTCAATCCCATTTTAATCATACATATTAATACTCATTTATATCTTAAACATTTTATTCTAAAAACGCCTGTAATAACACTATCTTATGTACCTTACAGAATCCCTTTTTCAATTAAATTTACCCATTGTCTCTAAATGAATTTTGTTTCTTTAAATCTTGCTTCCCATCATTAAGACTTCTCACCCCTTCCCTTCTCCCTTGCTTATTCTTCTTCTTACCCTTTTTACCCCTTTGTCTCTCCACCTCCCTTTTCTTCTTCTGCTTTCTCCTTTTCTGTTGTTTTCTAACCTTATATCCACCTTTCAACTCATTTTTATCTTTTTGGTTGTTTTTTTAAGTCTTAAAATCCCTCTTTTCTTTTCCTCTTTCTTCTCCTCCCCAGATAGGATCACATGTTCATCAAAGATGGTTTCTTCTTTGTCCCAATTATCCTGCTGCGCAATTGATTCTCCATAAGAACGTACCGCCATTTCTAGAGATTGAAAAAGAATGCCCAAAGTATCTTTCCAGTCTTGTTCTTCCTTTTTATATTTTTGATATTCAGTTTTGGATTCATCCAAGGATAATGCCATTATAAAGAGGAAAAGTTTTTCCCAAAACAATCACCCAAGTGTTTTTAGGCAAAGAAAAAAAAGATTTCCCAAAAAATCCAAAGTCACCAAACAATCCAGATAAACTATTTCTTTTAGCACTTTTTCCTTTCTTCTGTTTCTTTTTCTGGGGTTACTATTAAGTCACAAAGTTCCAATTGAAATATGTCTTTTTGAAGTCTTATTAATGTTCACATGGCTCTTTAAAATTCTAGGCAGTCTGCTCCTTATTTTCAAATTCTGCTTCAATTTTTTCCTCTCCCTTCCCACTCACAGCAAAAGAAGATTTTTTCTTTAAATATTTAGAAATCCATATCCCTTTGGCATTAGCATAGTCTTTAACATTTAGCATACCTCCAATGCGGGTTTTCCAATTTCTCTCAAGGCTGTTCCGTTTGGAAGGAGAGTGAAAAGAAAAAAAGTTTTCCCTTTAATATCCATTCGCCGCTTACTCAGTCTGGGAACAATGTATCTAATAAGTATTAAATATCAGGATACTTTCACTGTTACTTTGTCCCGGTCAGCAAAGATCACTTTCACTTCTTCGCAGCTCCTCCAGCACTTTCTTTTTCCGGCTGAGCTCTTCTATGTGGCAGCCATTACAGACCACCGCTCAGCTGCCTTCGGAGAGGGAGATTTAGCCGGCTAGGGAAGAGAGATGCGATGTCTCTCGTCCCTGCCAAAGCCCCCCAGTCTTCACCACCTTCTGCAAAGGTGACTTAGCCCCGAAGCCAAATGGCTCGGGTGCTTGTTAAGTGAGAGCCACCTGGTAACACTGTGGTATACTGGATGCTCTGCAGTGGATAAGAAGATGCTCCAGAGAGTTATAAACACAACACAAAAAATCATCAGTTGCTCTCTTTCTTCTTTGGAAGGGATTGCGAAGACCAGACTCCTCTCTAGAGCACTAAAAATCTCCACAGACCGTTCTCATCCTGGACACTCATATTTCGAACTGTTACCATCAGGGAGGCATTATAGGTATCTTAAAATGAGGACTGATAGATTGACAAACAGTTTCTTTTTTAAGGAAGTAATTGTCTTGAATCAAAAAGTGCATTTGTGATTTATTATTATTATTATTAATTTTTTAAATACTCTGTAGTGTGATTGTCATGTGGTATTTGGGGCACTGTGCTGGAGTAGCTTTCAAATTTCATTGTATTCGTGGAATGCAGTGACAATAAAAATATTCTATTCTATTCTAAAGGAACTGCAGTTCAAAAAACACAAAACTATAACTGGGACAGATTTGAAAATCTGTAATACGCCATGACAAATAGAAGGTTTAATGTGGGAAAATTGCCCAATTAAGTAAGTAATCAAAACATTTAGAGAAGGCAGGGCTTGGCCCTCCCTCCCAATGTGTCCCCGCAGACTTTCCCTCCCCCCCACACACACACCAGGTTCCCAAAGGGCTTGGGCTCCTCCCCACCCCTATCGCACAGTTACCTTTTGAATGTCTCTGAACTTCACATCAGGGAAGGAAGGCAGACCATTCCATCTTTTAGCTCCCCTGGGCTGCATGGCTGGGTCCTGAAAGTGGCCACCATATTTAGAGTAGCATATTCCTTGCGGTTGCACTAAAATAGCAGCCACTTAAGATGTGGTTACGTAGCCCAGTGATGAAGCAGTCTGCTCTGCTTCAGCATTTTCTGCAGCACTATGCAGGCCACATTAGGGAAGCAGCATATCGCTTCATTGCTGAGATGGGCAGCGCATAAATTTAATAAATAAATAAATATCACAGTTGGACTAGTGATTACTAGTTATCATCTCTTTTTTAAAAAACAGTTGAAATTTTAAAGAAGATTGACATTCCATCAGTTTTCATTGGCGAAACATCCGCGAAATCTCTTAAAGAAGAATTTACTTTCGAAAAAGGGTATGTATAAGATACCTCACAAACTTTTTATTGACTGATATACAGAATGAAAGATTCAGTTTGAGTGTAAGGATATGCTTTTTCTTGCTTTTGATGCTGAAATTGCCAAATATTTAAGTATCTTTTCATATTTCAAAACCTTTTATTTTCTTGTGATAGTTATACGAAATTTGTAGACATAAGTGTTCAAATTTTAAATAAATTTATTCAAAGGTTTTTCTGTTAGCTATCTTCTAAAGTTATACGATTTTATTTAAAAATAAGGGTGGCTTTTATGGTCATTGTATGGAACATATACAATATAAAAGTGATCTGTGTAAATTTAGAACTTCAAAGAAATATACAACCAGATATAACAATCAAGTGTCTTAGCAGAAAAAGAATGAAGTATTTTTAGATTTCCTTTTTTATCATATGCAGTATTACAGATATTCTTCTCTGCACAACTGTTTTAAGAAGAATTTTTACAATAAATTGGTTTTCCTTTCTTTCAGAGGCCATATCGTGCTAATCCCAGAATTCAGCCTTCCTTTGGAATATTATCTAATCCCATTCTTAATAATTGTGGGAATCTGTCTCATCCTTATAGTTATATTCATGGTGGGTATAATCTTCTTTCGTTGTGCTATCTTTTGATTTTCTCTACACATATAAACACTTTTTTTAAATTGCCGAAGTCAGTTTATTTTAATGTTTATTGTTTAGTGTATGTCTTTGTGAAAGATATTGCTGACATTATGTAAACTGTACATTAGAATCTGTAGCTAGCTTTAAAAAGCCGTTTGGGTCATCACTCCAATTGAGGTTTCCATGGATTCATTGGTTTAAGAAGAGCTTCCTTATGGATAATATTTATATTCAGCTTAATATGAATATAAATCCTCTTGCATGCCACATACAAAATTTCATGTGCAAATACTATAAATCTGAACTTTAATTAAAATATGCTTGTTGCGTCTGATGGTATATGAAGCTTATATTTTTTGTCACAATTCTTTTTCATTTTGTTTTAGGAAGTGGGATAGACTAGAAGATGAATATCATAGTAGAATATAGAAGCAAATTAAAAGTTAAAATCCTTTTTATGTTGCAGGTTAAGGGAACTATGATTCCAGTTATTTTCAAATGTATCTGGAATACAAGGGCTTTATTACGCAAGTAGCCTGTACTTAAGAATATAAGATAATTTTTGGTGTGCTGCAAATTTATTAAAATAGTACTAGCCACATGAAGTTGAACTGGGAAGGATATTTTTCTCTGGAAATAAATTTTATTTTCATATCTAAAACATAATCTAGGATAAAGGGGTGGATAGTACTTCAAAAATTAAATAAATTAAATAATTTTTTTGATCGGAATGTTCTTTAATTGTCTGCTACCTGTCCAGGCATAATGGTGATATTTTTGTTTTTCATTTCTCCGGTTCCTAGCCAAATACTGTATATTTAATGAATTTCTATATTCTGATTCATGAATTTTTGAGCAAACATTTTTCTTATGCACAATGCGATATATCTTCCCTTTGTATTGTGTCTGTTTCTTTTAAATGGGTTATATCCTATCAGCAGGAATGGGTATATATCAGTGATTTAAAGAATCTTGGCAGCTGTCTATCAATCCTAGATACAGGGACTTGCAATGTACTTCCCCCAAGGCTATATCATGTCTTCCACATAACAGTCTTTGTTTTTCTCAGTGGGAATCGTTGATCACCATGGTGCTCTTCTTCCTCAAAGTAGTTTTTGGATTCCTTCAATTTGTGGGGGACTGTTTTAAGCCCTTTTCTGTGAAATTAGTAGATCTTTCTTGGTCTAAATAACAGGAGCCATATGGAAAACTTTCATCCCATTTACATAGAAGTATGAAATAACTATGGTAGAAGTGTAGAAAGGTTAGGAAAACATCATAGGTATTAGTACTGATTGATATGGGATTCTGAATGGACTGTAAATAGGAATGGAATATCTGCCTTCAATATTAGCATATCAGAATGGACCAGAAGGTAAGAAAAATCTTCTCTTAGGATACAGATTTTACTTACTCTTTGAACTGTAGGTAATAATCACAAGAAGTCTGACTTTGAAAGATCCAAAGCACACAATAGTTAAATGACTTGACCATTAGTGAAGAATTATTGATAGTCTCCATGAAGGAATAAGTGCATGTACAAGAGACAACAAAATTCTGATACTAATTTACTTCTCATACAGGAATGTTAGGTATGAGGCTTTCTTGCTTTTCGGAACACATCTGTGTTAGAATTCAAGAGATATGATCTTACCTTATCCACACTGCTAAATGCAGAAACTGGAGGCTGAGATGAAGCAGAAGTAGTTCCATATGGAAAGAAAATAGGAACAGTTAAGAGAGAGAAAAGTTGCTCATGACAGGAGAGAGTGTGGCAAACTTGCCAGGGAACAATTAGGATTGCAGCCCTTCACATTCATTTAAACATCCTGGCTGCAAGGGGAATCCATCGGAATGTGTAGTGGAGATTTTCTTAGTAATGCATCCAGCTTCAACATGACATGGTATCCCGCCTGGAACAGAACCATAAGAAAAGAGTTTTGTGCCAGGACTCAAAGAAATAAATGGCCTTTAGTGTAGAAAAGTTGCCAGGTGGTGACCAGCTGAATCTGCTTGCTATACGGCAGGGGTGTCCAACCTTGGCAACTTTTAAGACTTGTGGACTTCAACTCCTATACAGCAAAGCTGGCTGAGGAATTCTGGGAGTTGAAGTCCACAAGTCTTAAAGTTGCCAAGGTTGGACACCCCTGCTATACGGGATGTAATCCTATTTGTATACCACCAATTCTTTGCAGTTTACATAGATTCACAGAACAATAACAACTATAAAATATTCATTACAACTTATTCCTAAAACTGTAATAAAACTATTTTTCTACCAATTTATAAAAATCGAATATAAAGAGCAAGCAGGCTTTTATGGTAGACTTTGTAAGATTATCCCAAGGAGACATTTGTTGGGTTAAAGGTATATTGAACTTCTGCGAATCAAGGTGTCTCCATTATATCCATGATATCACCATATATATATCACCAAGGTATCTCTATTATATTACCATATAATATATAAAAACAAAAATGAAACCATTTCGAGATCTAAAAAATGATCTGAAATTCTGTGTAAGTGTCTGTTGCACATCTTTGGGAACAGTGGAAGTAGGTGGTTCTTACAAATGTTTTTCTTAGTAGTCCATAACTGCTGAAAGTGTAAGCATTATTGTATTACGTTAACTGAGGATTTGGGTAAGAATTTTACATGTAGGAGTCCTACTGTTGTATTTTATAAATCGTTTAATATGCATCCTTCTTTAGGTAACTCAAAAACAAATTGATTAGTCCTATACTTTTCTTATTTTATTTTTCCCTGTCTTTCAAGATAACAAAATTTGTTCAGGACAGACACAGAGCAAGAAGGAATCGCCTTCAAAAGGATCAACTTAAGAAGCTTCCAGTACATAAATTCAAGAAAGGTAAGTGGAATATTTTAGAACTTTTAAAAAAATCTCTACTCTGACCAGTTTTAAACGCTGTGTTAACAGCTGCAGAAAACAATTGGATGTTTCACACATTGACAAACTAATGCTTTCAGACATGGGATAGCTTTGATTCAGAATATAAGATTGGTATGCAAAGCTCCTGACTTGAAGTCTAGAGTAGACAAGAGCATGTTGGAATGAAAAATATAGTTGCCCCTTTCAGCCCCCTGGCCCAACTTCAATTAAAAACTACTCTGTAGAAGTCATATAGAAAGAAAAGCACTTTGGTGGGCATCTGGGAGAGGCACAAATCAGCAAAAAATAGTCTTTTTTTAATTTTCCGGTGGGAACAGTTTATTTTATTCAACATTCTGTATTTAATCTCTTAAGTTTTCTTTTTAAACCACCAACTAACAGGAGCACTAAAATACTCCTTTGTAGCCAGTATGAAGATCTGCTAGTAATCTGAATTTATTATTTATAAACTAATGAGTCATTGATGTATCACTGGATACATCTGGATACATCACTGGATACATCACTGGAATTGATATTTTTTTTAATAATTACTTAGAATGTAGCTCCATGATGTAAGAAAGCTGGATGTAAATGTACTACAAATAAAACAAAAATGTTTCAAAATAAATATTGTAATTTCAAGAAAGGAGATAATGGATTTCTTTTTATTCTATGGTTTATGACAGCTTAATTCAATGAAATTTGCCCTCCTACATTATATGAATCATATAAATAGCTTACAAAAGCAGTTATTTGTCAGCAGTCATGCAATAACAGCTCTTAGAAGAAATAAAGTAGTTTTTCTTTATTTCAAGTACAGAATGATATCTTTTCAGGACATAAAGGTTTTGATGTTTGCTGTCAAAAATAAAAAATAAGCTTGCTGTATACACTATATCTGTTTCCCCACAGTGGTTTGACAACTGTTTGGGATTCTGATTTGCAGAATTTCCAGCTAGTATGCCAGCAGTTTCAAAGAATATGCTTCCACATATCTGAAGGACATCTTACTGAGAAAGTGTATACTGTATTAAGTTGTCAGAAATTAGTCATTTAAAAAAACTGAATAGGATCTTTCCTTTGACATGTGCTTGACATGTGCTCTCATTGTATTTTGTACTTTTTCTTCATTGTGTGCTGTTCAGGGAGGAATGAGGATGTTAATTTTTGAGGGTTTTTGCATGGCATAATTCAGTGAACCATTTGTTGTAGCTTATAAACAGAGCTATAATAACTGCATACTGCCATGATCAACAGAAGGAATATATAAGACATTATATGAGTTCAAGGCAAAACCCTAGCCTGCTTGTTGTTTGCCCTTGATAAATATCTTGCATTATTAATGATATTGTCAGTAGTAGTAGTACTGCAAAGCAGATATTTGGTTGAAAACTGCATTTGACATGATGTGCAAAATTAATTTCTTCTAAGATAATGAAATTCACTATGCAAAGCTGAGTGATCTTTGCTGAATAATTTTATTTCACTGGGCTTGAAATGGACTATAAAGGATTATGAAACAGGCTAAAGTTTCATTCCCCTTTCCTCTTTCCCCTTTTCAACAAATACATAAATAAAGTAGCAGAACTGAGCATTACACACCCTAGGTCCAATTCCTAAGTCAGGGTGGCAGCTTTGCAGTTTTCATGGCCACTTCCTATCTTCCAGAATGATATCTTTACCTGTTCTCCACATGACTCAGCGTGTAAAAGATCACATCACCTGGGAACAATGAAAAGGGGGGAAATGATAAAAGAAAATGAATGGCATAATACCACCTCTTCTGACTTTATAGGCATGTGGTAAGGGTAATCAGCTCTACTTTTATGTAAGGAGACTAATCTTACAATAAATAAATAGAATCAAATTTCTCTTTTAAAATGAGTGAACATAAATGTTACTTTTAACTTCAAGTAGCTGCAGTAAAATGGAGGAAAGAATACAAGTACTAAAAATATAGGCAGGATTTCTGGATAACTTCCAATAGAAAAATGGAGTGGCAACTATAAGACTCTGTATTTTAACCATAAGATTAGGTTGGTCTTTTCTCTAAGATATACAACTAGAGAACATTTACATCAAAAACAATAAACATCATACACAGCCACAGTAATCTTATGCAGTATTACTAGTTCTCAATTATGAGGTCAGTTTGGTGTACAACTTTCCCTGTCAGCTTCCCCACTGACTTTCTGAGGAAACTGGCAGAGGAGGATAAAAATGGCAATCAGATGATCAAGGGTGCTTAGCAACCAGTCAAATGTGTGAATGGTTTGCCAAGCTCCCACATTGTAAACAAGTGACCATGGGGGTGCTGGAATGGCTAGAACACCAAAAGACTAGTTGTAACCACCATTTGTTCAGCACCATTGATCATGGGTCGGGGCTATCCGAGGGGGTTAAAGAGTGTCTTAAAAACCTGGAAACTGAGTTTCTAGGTGTCCCTTAGGCTTGAAAGTTGGCTGGATGACTTTGGGCCAATCACTATCAGTCAGTGCACCTCGCAGGGTGGTTGTTGTGGGAAAAATAGAAAGTAGGAATATTAGGTATGTGTGTCACTTTGAATTATAGATAAAAAGTTGGGGAAAAACAGGTGGATAAAATGCAAATCCAGAGTAAACATCTGCTAATTGTGCAGCCAGCCACAATAATATTGCTGTTATTTATTTGTTTAAAATTGTTATAGCTGCTTATTATAGCTGACTGTTGCTACCTATTTCTTGGAATGATCTTTGAAGTCTCCTTTCTCTTGTGGCTTTTTTTGGAGCTGCTTATAGACTACCACATATTATCAGAGGTTCCAGAATGATCTTTCCTGGTAGCCCTGGTACCAGGTTTTTGATTGTGTTCTGTTATCTGGAGAACTGTCTGCAGTCCTCAAAAGAACAAACTGTTTCTCTTATGTCCCTCATACAGAAATTGTATGTCTGAAATGAATGAATGCGGGTTGAAATTCCAGTGTATCTGGTTGTCAGTGAGTAGGGGAAGGAGTTGGCTGCCCATTCACTGCGAAGAATAAATATTATTTTGCTCTTATGTTAAACTATGTGTCTTACATTGCATTGAATTCATAGGGTACACATGCACATACGCTACCTTTCTTTATAGTGCCCTGGTGAGATAAAAAAAAATTGTACATGCTTAAAGTAATCATATGTTGTTTGTTTCATTGCAACTTGTAAGTTGAAAAGTGCCCATGGACTCACATTATCAAGTATTTAAACAGCTGCTGCTTGTTGACTTCTTATGCTGCTATTATGTCCTAATTTAGAGAGCCACTATGCTATTTTCCTTTCAAATATGGAGGGCAGTTAAAATGGGAGCCTTTGGCACTCAGTGGAAAAGTCCCTCTATTGATGTCCTTTGGAGATAATTCTACCTTTCTGTCCTTACAAAGTGGACATAAATTAGAGTCAATGCCCATGGACACTAAAGGGAAAGTGGTTGGCATAGGGGTCATTCCAGAGTTCTATGCCAAGCTGCTTTTAAAATCTCTAGTTAGCACCATTCAAATTTTTGTTACTTTATTTTTATTTATATTTATAGAACTATGATTTATATATACATATTCTCCTGGCCTTCCTTTAATTACTTTTAATAGAAGCAACCCCACAAATAGAAGTAATTTGCATGTTACAGCTTCCTTTCTGTAACTATAAATTTTGTAGTGCAATAGTTTAGTCAGTTTTCTCTATAAAGGCTTATTATTTAACTGAGGGAATTTGTTTCATATTATAAAGAAGGAAATTGTCCCAGACAACTGAAGAATCATTCTCATCAAGTTGTAATTAAACGCAACTACTCTATCTAATCAGCCTTTGTGTGGTTGCTGCTGAAAAGGAGAAAATTGCAGAGCAGCCAACTAGGAGCAGAGCTGCTCTTGTAGGGAACCACCTGGACTGCTGGAAAGGAAGCTTGTTGTGGCTACTTTGCCTTTTCCTTACTGTAGAACAGGGCACTCCAACCTTGGCAACTTTCCCTGCCAGCTTCCCCAATGACTTTAGTGGCTGAAGAATTCTGGGAGTTGAAGTCCACAAGTCTTAAAGTTGCCAAATTTAGACACCCTTGTTATAGAATGGGAATGGGAGTAGGGTAGAGTAGCGTAGCATAGAGTAGAATAGAGTAGAACAACAGAGTTAGAAGGGACCTTGGAGGTTTTCCAGTCCAACCCCCTGCATGGGCAGGAAACCCTACATGACTTCAGACAAATAATATAGAGCAAGCTGGGACTTGCATTGAGTCTTAAATTGGTCATACAAGGATTGCTTTTGCCTACACGAAACAAAACAAGGAGGAACATGTTCTCCACTATGCCTGACATGGACAAAAGCCTTGTCATATAGAGTAGATGACATCAGAGGTCTTGCCTCTTTCCCATCATTTGATTGTTAAAGTAAATGGATGACTAGATACAGCCCCCTAAACCAGACTTAATTCCTTTCTTCCAGGGCAGCTCAAAAGACATTAACTTTTTGGACAGATACCACCACCACCACCCCGCCTCCACTCCTGGGCATTGGGAGTGGTGTGTTTCTTTGGTGTAGATTTGGAGTGGTTTTTTAAAATGTGACTTTCAGAAAGAGTTACCACCTCCTTTTCTTTTACTGCAATTGATTGAATTAAATTTGAGGTGGGTGGGAATAGCTGTTCTTGGCAGGATACTCCTTTCAGGTTCATGTAAACTGTTGAGTTTGCTTTTCCCATTAACAGATCCACAGCTGTATATTTTAAAAAAAACCTGCATGCCAGATGAAAATCCCAGGGCACAAATTAAGAAAACCTTTTTCCTGGTGATTTGTAAATTATTACAAATTGTACTGTATTTTAAATTGAAACTATTTTTAATAATTGCTAATACTTGTTAGTTATACATGGATTTTCCAATATTCAACATTTAACGTATAATGTCCGGTCTATTTGAATTCAAAATCACTGCCAGATTATTGTTTAGAGCTACAGGCAGCTGGAACAGTTAT